CACTGAGGCATTGTGTGTTTGTGTGTTCTTTTTCTTTAGAATTTTCAAATAAACTTGACGTGTTTTATGATTAATAGTGATGTTGTGCTTGTACTATTTTGGACACACTGTCCTCAGGCTCCAGCTTTATGTTGTATGTTGATCGTATTAAAACAAAGAAAACAATCTGAAGTTGTTGTTTTTAAGTTATATATACCATGATTTTTCCGGTCCGGCCCACTTGGGAATAGATTTTCCTCCATGTGGCCCCTGAGCTAAAATGAGTTTGACACCCCTGCACTAAGCCCAAACCAGATGGGATGGCGTATTGCTGCAGAATGCTGTGGTAGCCATGCTGGTTAAGTGTGCCTTGAATTCTAAATAAATCACAGACAGTGTCACCAGCAAAGCACCCCCACACCATAACACTTCCTCCTCCTTGCTTTACGGTGGGAAATACACATGCGGAGATCATCCGTTCACCCACACCGCGTCTCACAAAGACACGGCGGTTGGAACCAAAAATCTCCAATTTGGACTCCAGACCAAAGGACAAATTTCCAGAGCAAAAGACACATTTCCACCAGTCTAATGTCCATTGCTCGTGTTTCTTGGCCCAAGCAGGTGTCTTCTTCTTATTGGTGTCCTTTAGTAGTGGTTTCTTTGCAGCAATTCGACCATGAAGGCCTGATTCACACAGTCTCCTCTGAACAGTTGATGTTGAGATGTGTCTGTTACTTGAACTCTGTGAAGCATTTATTTGGGCTGCAATTTCTGAGGCTGGTAACTCTAATGAACTTATTCTCTGCAGCAGAGATAACTCTGGGTCTTCCATTCCTGTGGCGGTCCTCATGAGAGCCAGTTTCATCATAGCGCTTGATGGTTTTTGCAACTGCACTTGAAGAAACTTTCAAAGTTCTTGAAATGTTCCGTATTGACTGAACTTCATGTCTTAAAGTAATGATGGACTGTCGTTTCTCTTTGCTTATTTGAGCTGTTCTTTCCATAATATAGACTTGGTATTTTACCAAATAGGGCTATCTTCTGTATACCCCCCCTACCTAGTCACAATACAACTGATTGGCTCAAACGCATTAAGAATGAAAGAAATTCCACAAATTAACTTTTAAGAAGGCACACCTTTTAATTTAAATGCATTCCAGATGACAACCTCATGAAGCTGGTTGAGATAATTCCAAGAGTGTGCAAAGCTGTCATCAAGACAAAGGGTGGCAATTTGAAGAATCTCAAATATAACATATATTTTGATTTGTTTAACACTTTTTTGGTTACTACATGATTCCATATGTGTTATTTCATAGTTTTGATGTCTTCACTATTATTCTACAATGTAGAAAATAGTTAAAAATAAAGAAAAACCCTGGAATTAGTAGGTGTGTGTCACACCCTGGTTCTGGGACTCATTATGTTGAGCCAGGGTGTGTGCAGTCTATGTGGTTTGGTTCTATGTTGGGTGTCAAAGTGTTGTAATTATGTTGATTAGTCATGTGACTCCCAATCGGAGGTAACGAGTGTCAGCTGTCGGCTCGTTATCTCTGATTGGGAGCCATATTTATTCTGTATGTTTTCTTGTGGGTTATTGTTCCGTTTCTGTCAGTTTAGCAGAGGACTTCACGAATCGTCGTTTGTTTTGTATTTACGTGCTTTACTTTATTAAAGTTATCATGTTCACTCAACGCGCTGCGCTTTGGTCCGTTCATTCATCAGACGATCGTGACAGAATAACCCACCACAAAAGGACCAAGCAGCGTGTACAGGAACACCCGCAGGAGAGAACGCTGGTGGATGTCCTCCTCGGCTGGGGACATATTACGCAGGAGGAGGCCGTCCGGTACCGGAGGGCGATGAAGGGGGAGAACCTGGCAGGAGAGGAGCAACGGCATCGGCAGGGCCATCGTCGGAAGGACGGGAGGCAACCCCAAAAAGTTTTTGGGGGGGGGCACATGGCTTGGGCGGCTGGGCAGCAGGAGGCTGCCACAGGGAGAAAAGGAGAGAAGGCTAACGGAGTACGGGAGCCATTGGCGAGTAGAGGGAGGGAAGTGTTTGTGGCACGGCGTGAAGGACTGATGTGTGTTGCCAGTCCGGTCCGGCCCGTTCCTGATCCTCGGTTGAGGCCAGTGGTGTGTGTTCCCGGTACGGACCGGCCTATTCCTACTCCAAGCACCAGGTCCACGGTGTGCTACGCCAGCCCGACCCGGCCTGTTCCGGCCACTCGCACCAGGGATACGGTGCGCTTCGCCAGCCCGGCCCGGCCTGTTCCGGCCACTCGCACCAGGGATACGGTGCGCGTCGCCAGCCCAGCCCGGCCTGTTCCTACTCCACGCACCAGGGATACGGTGCGCTTCGCCAGCCCGGCCCGGCCTGTTCCGGCCTCTCGCACCAGGGATACGGTGCGCGTCGCCAGCCCAGCCCGGCCTGTTCCTGCTCTCCGCACTAGGCCTTATGTGCGTCCCCAGGGCCAAGCATGCCCTGTTGCTGCTTCCCGCACTAGCCCTGAGATGCGTGTCCTCAGCCCGGTACCTCCAGTTCCGGCACCACGCACCAGGCCTACGGTGCGCCTCAGACGGCCAGAGTCTGCCGTCTGCCCAACGCCGTCTGAACGGCCCGTCTGCCCAACGGGGCCTGAACTGTCCGTCTGCCCAACGCCGTCTGAACTGCCCGTCTGCCCAACGGCGCCTGAACTGCCCGTCTGCCCAACGCCGTCTGAACTGCCCGTCTGCCCAACGCCGTCTGAACTGTCCGTCTGCCCAACGCCGTCTGAACTGCCCGTCTGTACTGAGCCTGCAAAGCCGCCCGTCTGCCATGAGCCTTCAGAGCCGTCCGCCAGACCGGAGCCGCTAGAGCTCTCCGCCAGACAGGATCAGCCAGAGCCTTCCGCCAGACAGGATCAGCCAGAGCCTTCCGCCAGACAGGATCAGCCAGAGCCTTCCGCCAGACAGGATCAGCCAGAGCCTTCCGCCAGACAGGATCAGCCAGAGCCTTCCGCCAGACAGGAGCAGCCAGAGCCTTCCGTCAGACCGGATCAGCCAGAGCCTTCCGCCAGACCGGATCAGCCAGAGCCTTCCGCCAGACAGGATCAGCCAGAGCCTTCGGCCAGACAGGATCAGCCAGATCCGTCAGCCTGCCATGAGCAGCCAGATCCGTCAGCCAGCCATGAGCAGCCAGATCCGTCGGCCAGCCATGAGCAGCCAGATCCGTCGGCCAGCCATGAGCAGCCAGATCCGTCGGCCAGCCATGAGCAGCCAGATCCGTCGGCCAGCCATGAGCAGCCAGATCCTTCAGCCCGCCATGAGCCGTTCAGCCAGGATCCGCCAGAGCCGTCCAGCCAGGATCCGCCAGAGCCAGCCAGCCAGGATCCGCCATTGAGTCAGGTGCTGCCCCTTATCCTGGTGCTGCCCCTTAGTCCGGTACTGCCCCTTAGTCCGGTGCTGCCCCTTAGTCCGGTGCTGCCCCTTAGTCCGGTGCTGCCCCTTAGTCCGGTGCTGCCCCTTAGTCCGGTGCTGCCTCTTAGTCCGGTGCTGCCCCTTAAACCGGTGGGGGTCATTTGGAGGAACCTACGTAAGCGGGTAGTGACTATGGTGGGGTGGTGGTCTAGGCCGGAGCCAGAACCGCCACCGAGGAGGTATGCCCGCCCAGCCCTCCCCTGTTTGGGGGTTTTGAGGCGCGGTCGCAGTCCGCGCCTTTAGGGGGGGGGTACTGTCACACCCTGGTTCTGGGACTCATTATGTTGAGCCAGGGTGTGTGCAGTCTATGTGGTTTGGTTCTATGTTGGGTGTCAAAGTGTTGTAATTATGTTGATTAGTCATGTGACTCCCAATCGGAGGTAACGAGTGTCAGCTGTCGGCTCGTTATCTCTGATTGGGAGCCATATTTATTCTGTATGTTTTCTTGTGGGCATTGTGGGTTATTGTTCCGTTTCTGTCAGTTTAGCAGAGGACTTCACGAATCGTCGTTTGTTTTGTATTTACGTGCTTTACTTTATTAAAGTTATCATGTTCACTCAACGCGCTGCGCTTTGGTCCGTTCATTCATCAGACGATCGTGACAGTGTGTCCAAACTTTTGACTGGTACTGTAGCTGGGAGGGCTTATTTGCAGCAAAAGTAAAGGAATTAAATCCCTATTGTACAATTCTTTTTAGGAATTACCGCTTTTCCGTAAGTAAAAAAATGCAGTGAAAACAGGACAGACTACACAACCATTGTTTCAACAGAGGCTTCAAAACAGCTATATTTACACTTACATTTCAGTCATTTAGTAGACGCTCTTATCCAGAGCGACTTACAGTTAGTGAGTGCATACATTTTCATACTGTGAACACATCTATATGTGTGACATTATAGAATATTTTGTGAAGGAAATGCTAACTGCACATTTCTTAGCCAATGATCTCCTCCACATCCAAAGTTTATGCTCTCAAAATTGCAGTCAGTGCAAGAAAGCCTTGTATAGCCAGGGTAAAATACGAATAGTTGAACCAAGTCATATTTCAGACAGGTAGAAAAGTTATCTCTACAAGGCAATATGTATCCAATGAACTTTTGACTGGTACTGTAAATAAAAACAAATTAAATCACAAAACTATAATAACCTTGGTAGAGACCCTGCTGAGTCTCCCTCAAAAACTAACCATATTTGGTTAGTAGAGACCCTACAGAGTAGTTTCCACCCCATCTTAGCTGAGCCAGGTAGAAAAGTTCTCTCTACCGCCCAATATTATCAACATTCCAGTGTCAACATAGTATTTTTTCATTACTGGTCTTAAAAAATGCTTTTAAAACCATAAAATAAAAAAATTAAAATCATAAATTACTTATTGCCTTTTCTTGTTGGCACAATATAAGTGGCCATTGATAAAAATTATATATCTTTTGAATGAGTTATCCACATTGCAATGGTTTGAAAATCAGGCTTTTATTTTGAAGGTTTCAATATTACCATACACGCGTGGCGTCATCATTTGTGCTGCTGGCAGAATACTAGTGCCTCCTTCCTTATGCCGCCCGCCCTCAATTTGACTGCAGTAATCCCGACAAGTGAATTTCAGGTTATTTACTGATATGCAGCAGTATTTGTAGAAGATATGGAGCTGTGTCAGATTGTCGTCTCAAATGTCGTGTACCGGTATTTTCCTTGTCGACAACAGAGATAATTGCGAATTTGGGACGACCGACCGACCCTTTTTCCAAGCCGCGGTTCCGTATTGACTGAGCACTAACGTTATGCATTCAACTTTCTGAAAAATGTAGGGCCTTGGCTATCTGTTGCCTCTTTGCCAACAGCAACAATGTATCATGTTATAAAAGGACTTATTCTAACAGAATCCCGATGCTGTGATCCCGATAGTAAAAGGTCATACCAGGACCTATTCGATAAACTGGATACCAACAAGGATGGCAAGGTGGATGTTTTCGAATTGAGAGCGGGTCTAACCGCAATGGGCATATCATCCCGCAAAGGTGCAGCGCAGGTAAATGTAAATGCAGAGCCATGCCGTTTCCCAACGTTAAGAATTTGCGAGTGGGACATACAGTATGTGTAGCAAATACATGCAACACAGACCTAGACATATGCCATTCTCATTCACTTAGCCTATTCATCCATTCACCAATTTGTGGGGTATTTCCCTGTAAATATAACATATAACCTATACTTTATATAAACTAAATACTCAACTTTAGCCGACTAACTAGTTTCTCCCTTGTCAAACGTGTCCCATCCTGGAGCGATAAAGCAGTAGTAACAGTGTTACAGCGTCTGGTGTTATCAGAGCAGGGCTGGTTTAAAGGGTCAATCTGCAATTCAAACAACAACAAAGCAGACACCCCACCACTGTTTTGGTAAACAGCTGAGGGATGAGGCTGGAGAAATCTCTCAAATTCATAGACAGAGCTATGGATTTGATATAAAAAATAATTGTTGTCCGGTCCCCCACCGATGAAATCGGGAGGGGGACTGGATCCGTCTCCATCCATATGTTAGTATGTACGCCCGGTTTGGACGAATCTTGGGTGAATGATGCACCATGCCATATATATCCTTGCCATAGAGATCCAGCATTTACAAAATTAGATTGATTGGCCCGGTTTTGACGAAACTTGGGTGAATGATGTGTCTTGCCATAGAGATCTTGCATTTACAAAATAACACTGATTGGCCCAAGGGTGGCGCTGCATCATTCTAGGAGGATGACATGTTTACTGTTGCCTTGTTTGAACCATGTTTTGAGGCTATACAGTGTTTGTTTACATAACTAAAGTAAAACAAGCTTATGTTTTGGGTTCTGATGGGGTTAGACAGTTGAACTAATTTCATGAGACATTTATAAGTCATATTCTTCAAGAATCAATGAGTATGTATCATGAATTGAAGTTCAAAAATGTATGTAGCAATGTAAGTAGCAATCACAGATTGTCCGGCAGGACACAGGTTTCATCATCAATATGACATCTACAGGAAAATGACTCACCCCTCATCCCCAGTATCAGGGAATGAAAACAGATATTGGTTAGTGTTGTTACCAGCACCACTATAGGGGAAGATACCCGCCCCATTGACTTGGCCATCTCCAGACATTATGCAATATTCATTACCATTCAATATTCATTCATGTGCACAACATGTTCTTGTAGTTACACAGTAACTCTATAACAATAGCCTACCATTTAATGATAGCATTGAAAAACACTACACTGTTCCTGTGTTAGTGAGCCAAGTGCGTCTGCTTGACTTAGTGAGGCAGCCTATCTGATGCCTATGAGTCGTAGTGAGTAACCTTGCCAGTGTACAAAGTTCTGCTTCAATGATTCAACTTCCAACAGTGAGGCAAATAAACGAATCCTCTCATTCGTGTCTGTGTAGAAAATTGTATCGTCTGGTGACAAAAACAAAGATGGAGGGCTTGACTTCAATGAGTTCAACAAATATCTGAAAGAACACGAGAAGAAACTGCGCCTGACGTTCAAGAGCTTGGACAAAAACAACGATGGTAGGTTACCATACCATATCCTTCTCCACAAAGCACTGGAGATTTTCTGGGGAATCACTGGTGACACAAAGTTTAGGGAAGTACAGTACTTGATGAGCACCGAGATCACTACAGATAGACTTAAGTATTTGACATTTGTCCAGGACCCTAGGTTGTCGGGGATGCCTTCAGTACCATCCACTAGGGGCAGCGTGAGCACGTATTACCGTCTGGCTCCCGGCTTGCTAGGGCGTTGTGGAGGGTGCTAGGCACTTATTTATTTATTTATTCTGTTTTAACCTTATCCCAAACGTTAACCCTTACCTTAACCAGTCGGAATTAATGCATAAACTTAATCGTCAAGTTGTTTATGATTAACCATCAATTTGTTCTGTTTTGACAACCTTCACCTTTTACCTACTTTCACTTCACCCACAGATGTTTATCCCCCGCTGGACAATTGTTGAATACTGAAGTGAGACCATGAGATCTTGTTGTGATGAGACCTATCTCTGTCAGAATGACTAGTAATAGTAATAAGCCATTTAGCAGACGCTTTTATCCAAAGCGACTTACAGTCATGCGTGCATACATTTCTTTTGTGTATGGGTGGTCCCGGGGATCGAACCCACTACCCTGGCGTTACAAGCGCCGTGCTCTACCAGCTGAGCTACAGAGGACCACACATGATTCTCATAACAATGTAATATAACTGTTACAACAACAATGCATGATAGAACATGCATTATACTTATGAACATTCAACTAGAGAATGTACTTAGAAACATTTCAAGGTTTTGTTTATCATTTCCTCCAGGGCACATCGATGCCTCTGAGATCAAGCAGTCCCTTGAAGAGCTGGGCATGGACATAACCGAGGAAGAGGTCCAGACGATCCTACAAAGGTTTGTCCTCATAAGCTAAGTGTCCCTTCATTAGCCATGTCATTTCTTACAAACTATAAGCATTTTAGTTGATTCAACTTATCAACTAATCATCAAACCCTTGATTAGTTAAATTAGTGCTGGGCTGGAACAAAAATGGTCAAGTTGGCTAAAGCAGAAGTAGAATGGTAAACAGGCTAGTACTGTTACTACCTGCTCTGTGACCTCATATCCTGTCTGTGCAGCATGGACAACGATGGCAACATGATGGTAGACTGGAATGAGTGGAGGGATCACTTCCTGTTCAATCCTGCCCATAACCTGAACGAAATCGTACGGTACTGGAAACACTCCTCGGTGAGTGGGTCACCCGGTCCGGACTCCGGACTCACACCTGCACCCACACACCCCTTGAAGAAACTAGATATGTACAAGCAATATTGTGGAGAAGCGCCTATCCTATTGACTTTCTTTCGACAAAATGTTAATCTCCAGTGGATTGTTTATCTCCAGTGGATCATCTTACAAATTCTGTTTCTAGGAAATAGCGAGTCCCTTTTTTAACTTTTTGCTGAGACACTACATGCTAGGCTGGTGTTGCTGCAACTTCTCAAGCCACAACTGGTGAGATAGCAGGTCTGGATAAGAAGTTCCTCTTTCTCAGCAGTGTGTGAGAATAGGCCTGCTGGTAGGGTAGGTGGTAGTATATGTTTGTCTATAGAAAGTCTTATCTCCGTGTTGACCACATGTTACTTACAATAGCTTGCAGTTTATCTTACAGGCCTGACTGATAAAGTTGCAACAGTATAAAAGGCTGCAGTGCATGGGGGCTATTGATGTGGGCTATTGATCACCACCACACAAAAGTGTTCAAATATTTTTCTGATGTATGCTTGAGTGCAAAGTGCTGTGAAAAACTAATCAAAACTCTTGGTGGCGGTTGACGGATGTAAGGACAATAAAACATAATTCGTCTTTCACTCGCTAGGTGCTGGACATAGGTGAGAGCATTGCCATCCCTGATGAGTTCACAGAGGAGGAGAAGACCTCAGGTGGCTGGTGGAAACAGCTGGCTGCCGGGGCGATGGCGGGGGCGGTCTCTCGCACAGGCACTGCCCCCCTGGACAGGATGAAAGTCTTCATGCAGGTTGAGTACTGGAAGGGTCGTTACTAAAGAGGATGGAAATATAATGCTTTATAACTACAAATAGGATTTAACCACTAACCATAACCACAACCCTTATTCCTAACTTTATACCTAGTGAAAAAAACTACAGTATATAAATGCACACTATCCATCAAAATGGTTTATTCTCCAACCCCTGTGATTGTGCTTCAGGTCCACTCCTCCAAGTCCAACCGGATCACCCTGTTGGGAGGATTCAAGCAGATGATTAAGGAAGGGGGTGGGGCCTCATTATGGCGAGGGAACGGGGTCAACGTGTTAAAGATCGCCCCTGAGACTGCTATCAAATTCATGGCCTACGAACAGGTAGGACACCATTTATTCTGTCTAGTTATCACATTTGATGGGGGGAGGGGGACAAGCAAGGAGAGAGAGAGACCTATAGAGGAAGAGATAGTGAGATATGTAAAGGAGGAGGTAAATGATAAAATGATAGCGAGAATAGGAAATGTGACAGAGAGAGAGAGGGGAAGACAGACAGAGAAAAGGAACACCTACAGTATGTAAGAATGCTGTTCATTGACTACAGCGCAGCATTCAACAGCATAGGGCCTTCCAAACTCATCACTAAACTATGGACCCTCAGGGTTCGCACAAGGTGCTTGAGGTACTTGAAGTACTTGAATTTGGCACTCTGAAATTCAAGTACTGGAATACCTTGGAAATCAGACATTTTCTCAAGTTGGTACTTGAAAAGTACTTTAATTAAAATGAGGGGAGAACAGATAATGATCAAATATGTTTATGAAGAATGTTAGGAAAATGTTTTTGTTTTGCAAATTAATTTCCAGGCAGACTACCAAGTTTCATTTCCTCACGTGTTTCGCACTGTGGTTGCCAGGCAAGCTCGCTCATTCCACCCACACCGCCACTCAGCCAGGCAGGTACAGAACTGACTGATTAGGCGCCGCCAAACATCACATCGATAGCTAAAATTCCCAAGGCGCCCGCGATATTCCGCTTTATCAAGCGGCAGCCGTGCTCCTGCCGTTCTGGTGGCTGTTCACGTGCCGTTTTCCGCACAGCCCACCCGCCCTTCTCCCGACCTGCGACACTAAAGCTGCCAGTCGGAAGCAAGACGCTTTTTCCTAGCTATTAAGTAGTAGATCCCCAAATGCCCAATAAAAACAGTCATTAAGCTGGAATTGTGTAGTAATGCTAATAGTAAATGTATGTTCACCAGGAGGCATGTCCCAAAACTCTGCTCATCACTAACTCTGCTCAAATTACAAAATAATCAGTACTGACTTACCACTCATGTAGTGAAACAGCGTATTATTGAGGAAAACTTGTATGGTAGTGATGAATACAACGTTTTTTTCATGAGGTTGTGGTGATATACTACCATCTGTTGGTGACTAAAAACAATTGCATAATATGAACTATTACAAATTGATGGTCCTTGAAAATAAATATTAGTGCTTGAAAAAGTACTTGAAAGTCCTTGAATTTGACTTGCCACTGTCTGTACGAACCCTGGACCATGGGATGAAACACCTCCCTCTGCAACTGGGTCCTAGACTTCCTGACGGGCCGGCCCCGGTGGTGAGGGTTGGCAACAACACATCCACCGCGCTGACCCTCAACACGTGGCCCCTCAGGGGTGTGTGCTTAATCCCCTCCTGTACTCCCTGTTCACCCACGACTGCATGGCCGCGCACGACTCCAACACCATAATTAAGTCTGCAGACGACACAACGGTGGTAGGCCTGATCACAGACAACGATGAGACAGCCTACAAGAGACCTGGCAGTGTGGTGCCAGGAGAACAACCACTCTCTCAGCGTCAGCAAGACAAAAGAGATGATCGTGGACTACAGGAAACGGAGCGCCGAGCACACCCCCATCCACATCGACGGGGCTGTAGTGGAGCAGGTCAGGAGCTTCAAGTTCCTGTCCACATCACTAAGGAATTATCATGGTCCACACACACACACCAATATAGTCATGAAAAGGGCACAACAACGCCTCTTCCCCCTCAGGAGGCTGAAAATATTCGGCATTGGCCCTCGGATCCTCAAAGTTCTACAGCTGCACCATTGAGAGCTGTTACTGTTTGTCTTTCCTGTTGCCTAGTAACTTTATCCCTACCTATATGTACAGTGCATTCGGACAGTATTCAGACCCCTTGAATTTTTCCACATTTTGTTATCTTACAGACGTATTCTAAAATTGATTAAATTGTTTGTTTTTCCTCATCAATCTATACCCCATAATGACAAAGCAAAAACAGGTTTTTAGAAATGTTTGCAAATTTATAAAAAAAACTACCTGAAAGATCACATTTACATAATTATTCAGACCCTTTACTCAGTCCTTTGTTGAAGCACCTTTGGCAGCGATTACAGCCTAGAGTCTTCTTGGGTATGACGCTTCAAGCTTGGCACACCTGCATTTGGGGAGTTTCTCCCATTCTCTGCAGATCCTCTCAAGCTCTGTCAGGTTGGATGGGGAGCTTCGCTGCACAGGTATTTTCAGGTCTCTCAAGAGATGTTAGATCGGGTTCAAGTCCGGGCTCTGGCTGGGCCACTCAAGGACATTCAGAGACTTGTCCCGAAGCCACTCCTGCGTTGTCTTGGCTGTGTGCTTAGGGTCGTTGTCCTGTTGGAAGATGAACATTCACCCCTGTCTGAGGTCCTGATCGCTCTGGAGCAGGTTTTCATCAAGGATCTCTCTGTACTTTGCTTCGTTCATCTTTCCCTCGATCTTGACTAGTCTCCCAGTCCCTACCGCTGAAAAACATCCCCACAGCATGTTGCTGCCACCACCATGCTTCACCGTAGGGATGGTGCCAGGTTTCCTCCTGACGTGACACTTGGCATTCAGGCCAAAGAGTTCAATCTTGGTTTCATCAGACCAGAGAATCTAGTTTCTTATGGTCTGAGAGTCCTTTAGTTGCCTTTTGGCAAACTCCAAGCGGGATTTCCAGTGGTGTAAAGTACTTAAGTAAAAAATACTTTAAAGTACTACTTAAGTAGTTTTTTGGGGTATCTGTACTTTATTTTTGACAACTTCAACTTTTACTCCACTACATCCCTAAAGGAAATCATGTACTTTTTACTCCATACATTTTACCTGACACCCAAAAGTACTTGATACATTTTGAATGCTGTCCAATTCACGCACTTAAAGATAAAATCCCTGGTCATCCCTATTGCATCTGATCTGGCGGACTCACTAAACACAAATGGTTTGTTTGTAAATTATGTTACGAGTGTGCCCCTGGCTATCCGTAAATTTAAAAAACAAGAAAATCGTGCCGTCTGATTTGCTTAATATAAGGAATTTGAAATGATTTATTATTTTACTTTTACTTTTGACACTTAAGTATATTTAAAGCCAAATACTTTTAGACTTTTTATCAAGTAGTATTTTACTGGGTGACTTTCACTTTTACTTCAGTCATTTTCTATTAAGGTATCTTTACTTTTACTCAAGTATGACAATTTGGTACTTTTTCCACCACTGGGCATTTCATGTGCCTTTTACTGAGGAGTGGCTTCCGTCTGGCCACTCTACCATAAAGGCCAGATTGGTGGAGTTCTGCAGAGATGGTTGTCCTTCTGGAAGGTTCTCCCATCTCCACAGAGGAACTCTAGAGCTCTGTCGAGTGACCATTGGGTTCTTGGTCACCTCCCTGACCAAGGCCCTTCTCCCCCGATTGCTCAGTTTGGACGGGCGGCCAGCTCTAGAAAGAGTCTTGGTGGTTCCAAACTTCTTCCATTTAAGAATGATGAAGGCCACTGTGTTCTTGGGGACCTTCAATGCTGCAGAAATGTTTTGGTACCCTTCCCCAGATATGTGCCTCGACACAATCCTGTCTCTGAGCTCTACGGACAATTCCTTTGACCTCATGGCTTGGTTTTTGCTCTGACATACACTGTCAACTGTGGGACCTTATATAGACAGGTGTGTGTCTTTCCAAATCATGTCCAATCAATTGAATTTACCACTGGTGGTCTCCAATGAAGTTGTAGAAACATCTAAAAGATGATCAATGGAAACAGGATGCACCAGAGGTCAATTTCAGGGGGAATACTTATGTAAATCAGGTTTTTCTGTTTTTTTATTTGTATAAATTAGCAAATTCTATAAATCACTGTTAGTCTACAGCTGTTGTTTACAAAGCATTTTATAGGGCGAGAGAGAGTGAGAGGGAGAGAGCGAAGAAAGATGGAAGAAAGGGAAATGTTCTAATAGTATCTCTGTGTTATCCTAATGGTGTATCTCAACTTTCTCCCCCGTCAGTATAAGAAGCTGCTGACACCAGAGGGAGGGAAGGTCCAGACCCACCAGAGGTTCATGGCTGGCTCTCTGGCAGGAGCCACCGCCCAGTCATCCATCTACCCCATGGAGGTGAGAGGACAACCCCCTGTTACCCAGGGTCTCCGTCACTGTCAGATCCCTGGAATTAATTTGATCAAGGAGCATTCAGATAATACTGCATCATAAATCAGTCATATGCATTCACGTTATCAGGTGGTATTCAATTAAATGTAACATAATAAACATTTTATCTCAGGAAGAGGTATGTCCCTGAAAATATATTTCTCAGGTACATTTTGAACCTAAAGGTTAGTGTAACCGAACATACACAGAACATGGTTGCCATGTTCTCAAAATATAAGATATTAATGTTTTAGACACGTTTCATGGGAGCATTGCAAGAACATTCGTGTGTCCAGTTTTCTGAGGGTTAGGAGAATATTCCATCAATGTCCCACCAAACTTCTCAGAATATAATATATTAATGTTCTAGACACGTTTCATGGGAACGTTGCAGGAACATTTCTGTGTATCAGTTGTCAGGTTGTCACCTGTTTCATTACACATCACACCTTGTTACTGTTGCTGAGCCCATCAATGCCCTGATTGGTGAACCACTGATCCATTCACAACTCTTTGATGTTGGCAAGGTTAAGGCACGCACGCACAGTGCTTTTAACATGGTGTTTTCAACTTACATACTGTATTTGACACACTTTGACATACATGATTACATTGTGCATTTTCATTTATACAGTAATTATTATTCAGCATGTCCTCCCCTGGGATACTCTAGAGATATCCCTGGGACAGTGGTTAGGGTGTTCGTCATTAGTGTTGGTGGCCTGGGTTCGAGACCCACTAGGGGAGTCACACTACTGACTATTCTCAAATGTCTAGCAATATATGTTCATGTAATTATTTGGCAATAGTTACTAACACCCCTAACTGATATAATTAAAATCAGTTTCTCATTGAAAGATGGGAATCTGTAGGATCAGCACAAATTATGACAACATTTCCACTACCTTTCATAAACTATCAGTACTTATTAATTATATATAGATGAGCATCATCTCTCCATTGTCTTCTTTCTCCTTTTAGGTAATGAAGACCAGACTGACTCTGGGGAAAACTGGCCAGTATAATGGAATGTTTGACTGTGCCAAGAAGATTCTGAGGAAAGAAGGCATCAAAGCCTTCTGTAAAGGCTACACTCCCAACATGATAGGGATCATTCCCTATGCTGGCATCGACCTTGCTGTTTACGAGGTATGTAGGCTGAGGATTTCTATCACAGAGTCAATTCTGTTTCACATTCCACATTGTAGTACTGCAATGATTTACAGCTCACTAACATGTATTACTGAAACAGAGAATTCCATAATCTTGGAAGTTTTTCAGGACTCAAGAATGCAATCCAGTGAATCCACGAAAATTGCGTTCATCGAACGTTGTGTTATTCTAAATGAGAGAAGGCTGACGACATTAATGTGACCACTGTGAACACTTCTTTGGCGCCAGTCACATCCCTAAATGATGATACTTCCCTTCCCCTTGTCCCTTACCCCACCCTCTCTTTGTGTACCCTAGAGCCTGAAGAATGTGTGGTTGTCCCGCTATGCCAAAGACACAGCCAACCCTGGCATCTTGGTGCTGTTGGGCTGTGGCACCATCTCCAGCACCTGTGGCCAGCTGGCCAGCTACCCCCTCGCCCTGCTTCGCACACGCATGCAGGCACAAGGTAATACATGCATCTGGAACTAGATGAGATATTTTTATTTATTGAAGCCAAAAAACATTTAAAATCAGCTCTCCAGCAGCACAGAAAGACATCTTTGACTAATGAAACCAGCTGCTACTTTAATAATGTACATTAAAACAACTCTGTGATAAAAGGGACAGATCATCTGATCTCCATGAGAGAGAAACTGCAAGTGCAAAACCCATGAGGTAATGCGTGAATATAAACACACACACTCACACACACACTAACCTTTTCCTTTCCTTCTGCATCCTTTTTTTCATTTATCTGTTTCTCAGCAACTCTGGAAGCATCGGACAAGTCCACCATGACTGGACTGGTGAAGGGGATCATGGCTAACGAGGGTTTCTTTGGACTCTACCGGGGTATCCTGCCTAACTTCATGAAAGTGATTCCTGCTGTGAGCATCAGCTATGTGGTCTACGAGTACATGAAGACTGGCCTGGGGATCTCCAAATGATGCAGGGACAGTCAGACAGGATGTTAAGTCTTTAGGTCTTTTGGACAGTTTGGTTCGAACTTAGTGATGCGCACAGACTTTTATGATCTTGCATAGACAACCAAACGTTGCCATCTTGTGATCACTCTGTGTGTGTGCTGAGCCTCACGAGGAGAACCATGAAATCAAGGTTGGTCTGAACTAGGCCATATCAGTAGACTCCAAAAATGATGCTCTCCCCTTTAACTCAAAGAGAAATTCCAATATGGTGCAATATACCTGTTAAGAACTGCATTATGAATCTTAAAACATAGAGGGTGAGAGTACAAGGTATTGATGTATTCAGGTGAACACTGTGGGCGAAGTTCCAGAGCTTTGTCAAAAATATGTTTGTTCCACTGTAATATTAGACGCACCATGCGCACATTTTAGAGAATCCCACACTACTACAGTTTACTATAGAATTCTGTGGTAAACTGTAGTCTGGGTACCAGTCATTTTAGCTAACATTCCACAACTTGTACTCTGTGTCATATGCCAAAGATATATTTAAAGATTGAAGAAAAACCAGTCTCTTTGGCATACAACACGGAGGAGGCTACAAGGAGTGGAATGTTAGCTAAAAAGACTGGTACCCATCATCAGCGATTACTCAGGGTCGAGTATGATTATCCTCCCGGTGGGTCCTGCTTGTGGGTCTTCAGATGGCTGAAGAGGCTGATCCGGGATATTTTGATGTAGTATGGTGGTGGGTGGTGGTGGGTGGTGGGTGGTGGGTGGTGGTGGGTGGTGGTGGTGGTGGTGGGTGGTGGTTGGCCCTTCTTGATGGGAAGTCTCTCCTTTCGAAGTTGCAGCTTGTCCTCTGCGGCACGGCAGAGAGATTCTTTGTACCATGCCACTTCCTCATGGACAGCTTTCCTCCATGTCGACCTGTTGAGGAGTGGAAAGTTAGCCAAAAAGGCTGGTACCCAGGCTAAGTAAACTGTAGGATACTGTAGAATACTATACTACACACGGTAGTATCCCTCGATCATGTGTAGTACTTACTGTAGAATTCTGTAGTAAACTGTGGAATACTATACTACACACGGTAGTATCCCTCGATCATGTGTAGCACTTACTATATACAGTACCAGTCAAAAGTTTGGACACACCTACTCATTCCTGGTTTTTTCTTTATTTTTACTATTTTCTACATTGTAGAATAATAGTGAAGACATCAAAACTAGGAAATAACACATATGGAATCATGTAGTAACCAAAAAAGTGTTAAACAAATCAAAATATTTTATATTTGAGATTCTTAAAAGTAGCCACCCTTTGCCTTGATGACAGCTTTGCACACTCTGGGCATTCTCTCAAATCAGGTAGTCAATATAGTAAACTAGTATTATTTTTTTTAATGTGGGAAGATATGGTTAGTTAAGTGTGCCTTACCCTCAGTTAAATATCATATTTGTATATTTTATTTGGTTGGTTCTATTTATTTTTACAGTTTAGGGTCATTTACAACTGCTGTTTCAATGCTATGTTTTCATGTGTTTTAACGGTTTTAGTAGATGATTTACAAATATGTATTTTTTTGCTTTATGCTTTTCTTGAAAGACAATGCCTACCTTGTTGTTGTTGACTGTTAAGCTGTATTCCAAGCAAAATATGAATAGTTACAAAAGCTTGCATGCAAATAATGTCTGTGAATCATGACTGGAGTTAAGGGGGAAAGTCTTAAATAATGCTGCCTCCTTTTTGCTAAGCTTGACTGATATTCAAGTAGGTTGTGTACACTCTGTATATAGTAAGTACTACACATGATCGAGGGATACTACAGTGTGTAGTATAATATTCCACAGTTTACTACAGAATTCTACAGTAAGTACTACACATGATCGAGGGATACTAGTGTGTAGCATAGTATTCTACAGTATACTACAGTTTACTTAGCCTGGGTACCAGCCTTTTTGGCTACCATTCCACTCCTCAACAGGTCGACATGGAGGAAAGCTGTCCATGAGGAAGTGGCATGGTACAAAGAATATCTCTGCCGTGCCGCAGAGGACAAGCGGTAAATTCGAAAGGAGAGACTTCCCATCAAGAAGGCCCAACCACCACCACTCACACACACTCTCACTCTCCATATGCATGCAATGCACACACTAAACATTTTTACTACTTGAGGCCAATGGTTGTTATGTTGCCTCAATGTCTTATGTCTTAATTATGTTTGAATATGTAATAGGCCTACAATACCTGAATCAATTGACATTGTGAGAGATGCATGAGTGTTCTCACAAAGCTTAGACTGAAAGAAAAGCAATGCATGTGTTATGGGTCAAAACAAATGTTTACAGACGGTTGTCCACATATAAATAAATATTCACAATGGAATATTTTCAACTTAATTTAAATGAATAGTGCACACCCAGTGCAAAGCCAAATCCTATTTTTCAATGCTGTGTGCATGTCGCCATCTAGAGGTATTGCAGTGCAAGTTTGTGGATGCTGTTTCCGCGAATGATTAAATTGAACTGTGTCTATCAACTATAGATTGTCGTCATCCATTTGCGGACATCCAAAAACCTGTCCAATAATTTTACAGTGTACCGATTGAACCAAAGTTCTGTTGACGTCGTAATCTTTCGAACGCGATGCACTAACTAACCTGTTTGAAATTAAACAAAATATAGATTTGAAAACAGTGCCCCAAAACGTTTCTTTATAGCTAACTTTTCGCTATAGACTTCAGCTTACTACTAAATATGGTAAGTTGTTGTTTATCATGTTTACTGAGCTTTCAAGAATATACTATATTGGTAATTTGTCTCTGGCTATTTGTATAGGAGAAACCCTGGGTGAAAGAATTGAAATGGGTACTAGAGGATTTGGAGGATGACCCAAGGAAAGATGTCTGTCGACCAAGCAGCAGCACCAATGTTAAGGAAATTGTGAGGCCTCAATTCAATATACGCCATCAACCATAATATGGGGAAAATGAACTGTACATTCAACACAAGGATGGAAAGTAGCGAATGAGATCAATTAATGTCGGCATTATTGATGATTCTGGAGAAAGCAATGTATTAGGCACATGTTATTCTCCCAGAATCCTTATACTTTATACCCTTTCTCTAACTAAAGACGTTTCTTCTTACAGTACATAACATTTATTCTTACAGTACATAACTGCTGATAATCAAGAGTCTCCTAAGGTTAAGAAGAGGACCAAACAAAAGTCAGAGAAGGTATCCAGCTATATCTTTTACATGCTGATGATGCCATCCACAGTTAATTATTTTATACAACACTTCCATACACTCAATAAATTAACAATGCCTTGTGCCATTTTGTGAATGAAATATATGCGTCTCAGTTAATGTATTAGGCTTCAATTTCTAAGATCAAAACACAACTTTGATAGAATAATCAAAAGAAAGTTCTAACATATAACTGGTAAACCCAATGGCTTGTCTACATTTTCTCTGCCCATCAGTCCTTTCCCCACTCCTCCAGAAGCAGGGCAGTGATGACCCCAGTTGTCCCTATAGCTCTGGGGGAGCTGGAGTCCCCTGGGACCAGTGATGATGAGGAGGCCACAGCCTCGAAGGAGAGGGTCTCCAGTGCCAGGGAACGCCATGAGCAAGCCAGAGCCATGGCGGACACATTCACTGAAAAGTTCCACTCTTTCTTAGAGGATCTCGAAGAGATGAAGGTATGGGTCAGAGAAGGGACCAGTGGTCTCCAACCCTAGACCTTGAGACTGACAGAGTATGCAGCAACCTTTGTTCCAACCCAGCACTAACTGATTCTACTAATCATCAAGACCTTCATTAGCTGAACCAGGTTGGTTAGTGCTAGGCTTTAACGAAACCCTGCACACCCTGTGGTTCTCCAGGACCAGGGTTGGTGACCATTGAGAACTCTCCACTAGAGGGCTGTTGATAGCTAGTTTGGCAGCGTAGATATTTGTGTGAATACCCTGCGCCTCTGAGGATATAATATGTTTTATATCAGAATCCTACATGAGCTGCAGAACTGTGATGTGCTACTTTCCCCCCTTGACTGCACCTAGATTCCCAGGAAAAGCTCCACCCGACTACGGTCATCATGCTCCCAGTCTGCCAATGAGGATGGATCCCCCCTGGCCTCTACCCAATCAGATAAGGCCCTGAGACGAGACTGGTTGCAACATATGATTACAGCCGGAGAGGCCAGTGGTGACATCATCCGGACATCTTCATCAGCGTCATTATCATTGCCAACCATCTATGAGGTTGTCAAGGGCAGCAGCGAGTCCAAACCTGATGTATCCGGAGATGATGTCAAAAAGAGCAAGAAGTCCAAATGTAAAGTCAGGCAATGCTTTCACAATTTCACCAAGGCTCTGACTGGACTGTTGGTTAGTAAGCTTTGTTTTTTTGTTTTTTTGTACTGGTTTTTTTTCTGTGTCTGGTATAAGACCTTGACTGTGTGTGTAATTGGTAATGTTAGAAGAAATAACCACACAAGTTTTCCATCGGTGCTATGCTTCTGCTGGTCCACTGTGCAGTATTCTCCAAAACACGTTACAATACCGTGGTCTATTGATTGAGTCATTGTAAGTTCCTTATTTATTTATTTATTTATTTGAAATAATGAATGACTTCATGTCTCTTTTACTTTTCATGAAACTCCCAAAGCTTTCAAAGGATGACCATACTGGAGATGGACCAATTGCACGAAGTGTGACACCATCCAATGACACACTCAACATGGTCACACTCAACATGGTCATGGTTCCTCCACATCCACTCAGTAACTGGCGTTTGTGAGCTACATTAAGAAAAAAGGCAACCCCAGTTGTATGGATGATATTTAGCAGAGTATATGTTTTTCTTAAATAAAGGATACAAATGAATAATACAACTGTTCTGTTGGCAGTAGCGGTGCGTGGGTAAAATCACTGGGGAAGCCAGAAAAAAAGCCATATTACAACCTATGTGTTGTGATAATTGCGCTGTTTGCTCTATAAATCCTGTTAGTTCATAAGCCTTGCGACTGTGATATATAGGCCTAAAGGCTGAGACAATAAGAATACACAGTGGCAGAATAAATTCAACCACACCTTTGTTTCATCACAAAACTGATTGTACGGAGATTGTGACAGCCGGTTAAATGGCGTCCCTTGACAAGGCAAGAACAAGATGTATGTCAGGAGAAGTTCAGTATTATCATGAGGAGACTTATACTTGGAATACGGAGGGGGAATGGAGGGAAAAAGAGAGGCAGAGGAGGTCTAAGAGAGAGAGGGAGGAAGAGGGTGATTTTGAGTCAGTTAAAAATGGCGGAAAAGGGAGATGGTTTGTTAAAGAAGAATGGTAGAAACTGTAAGCAGAGGGAGTTGAAGACAGGAGGAGAAACGGAAGTGAATGAGGGTATCGGAGGTGGAAGGTGTGGTGAAGTTCTTGGAGCCCGAGGCTTGCACCGAGGGTCAGGATAAAGATGAGTCTGTGACAGCAGGAGTAACGTTTTTGGAAAAAGCGGACCCTTGCCTTTTGGCTGATCCATTTGTGGTTTCAGGGTGGGTGAAAACAGAGTTGGGTGCTGTGGAATCGGTGAGGGTAACCAGAAGTGGTCTTGTGATAATTGTTTGTGATTCTGCTGGGGGAGCAGGCGCTCCGTGTTAAACGAATGAGGGTAAGAGATGTGAATTGTTTTGCTCTCAAGAAAAGGGTGCCATTGAAAGGAGTGATTACTGGGGTAGCGGTAAATGTGAAAGCTGGCCAACTGAAGGGGAAGATTCCAGGAGTTTGTCATGCTCGTCGTTTGGTGCGACGCAGACAGGGTGGCATGACTGGTGAAACAGAAGAGTCATTGTCTGTTAGATAAGTTATCCTGTATGAGCTTTTGTGCCGAATACATTACGTTGTTACAGGTGTCAAGCTTATAGGCATGTGGGAGCAAATCAAATCAAATTGTCTTTGTCAGATGCGCCGAATACAACAGGTGTAGACCTTACAGTGAAATGCTTACTTACAAGCCCTTAACCAACAATGCAGTTTTAAGAAAGAATACCAAAAAAAATCACAAAAAAATACAATATAAAATAATACGAAATAAAAGTTACAAATAATTAAAGAGCAGCAGTAAAAATAACAATAGCGAGGCTATATACAGGGGGTACCGGTACCGAGTCAATGTGTGGGGGCACCGGTTAGTCGTGGAGTGCGTTAGTGAGATCTTGGAGGTTTCTTCTTCAATCTTGGAGAATGCCTACTACTGAAAACGAACGTTTCTCCATCTCATCATTTTACCATATTAATTCAGGTATGTAGTGTACAAAAGTGCAATATGACTCTCAAAATATTGAGGTAACATGGTTAACTACTAGCAGTCTCTATGGGGGTGCCACAGGGTACAATTCTTGGGCCGACACTTTTCTCCGTGTATATCAATGATGTCGCTCTTGCTGCTGGTGACTCTCAGATCCACCTCTACGCAGACGACACCATTTTGTATACATCTGGCCCTTCATTGGACACTGTGTTAACAAACCTCCAAACGAGCTTCAATGCCATACAACAATCCTTCAGTAGCCTCCAACTGCTCTTAAACACTAGTAAAACTAAATGCATGCTTTTCAATCGAACGCTGCTGGCACCCGCCCACCCGACTAGAATCACCACTCTCGACGGGTCTGACCTAGAGTATGTGGACAACTACAAATACCTAGGTGTCTGGTTAGACTGTAAACTCAACTTCCAGACTCACATAAAGAATCTCCAATCCAAAGTTAAATCTAGAATCGGCTTCCTATTTCGCAATAAAGCCTCCTTCACTCATGCTGCCAAACATGCCCTCGTAAAACTGACTATCCTACCGATCCTTGACTTCGGCGATGTCATTTACAAAATAGCCTCCAACACTCTACTCAGCAAATTGGATGTAGTCTATCACAGTGCCATCCGTTTTGTCTCCAAAGCCCCATACACTACCCACCACTGTGACCTGTACGCTCTTGTTGGCTGGTCCTCACTACATGTTCGTCGTCAAACCCACTGGCTCCAGGCCATCTATAAATCACTGCTAGGCAAATCCCCGCCTTATCTTAGCTCATTGGTCACCATAGCAGCACCCACCCGTAGTCTGCGCTCCAACAGGTATATCTCACTGGTCATTCCCAAAGCCAACACCTCCTTTGGCCGCCATTCCTTCCAGTTCTCTGCTGCCAATGACTGGAACGAATTGCAAAAATCTCTGAAGCTGGAGACTCTTATCTCCCTCAATAACTTTAAGCATCAGTTGTCAGAGCACCTTACCGATCACTGCACCTGTACACAGCCCATCTGAAATTAGCCCACCCAACTACCTCATCCCTATATTGTTATTTATTTTGCTCTTTTGCACCCCAGTATCTCTATTTGCACATAATCTCTTGCACATCTAGCATTCCAGTGTTAATACTAATTGTAATTATTTTGCACTATAGCCTATTTATTGCCTTACCTCCATAACTTGCTACATTTGCACACACTGTATATATATTTTCTGTTGTATTTCTGACTTTATGTTTTTTACCCCATATGTAACTCTGTGTTGTTTTTATTGCACTACTTTGCTTTATCTTGGCCAGGTCGCAGTTGTAAATGAGAACCTGTTCTCAACTGGCTTACCTGGTTAAATAAAGGTGAAATAAAAATAAAAATAAAAATAAAAAACTACATAGTCCATGAGTTTGGTGATGTTTGAAGGGAGTTTTAACTGAGTGAAAAACTGGTTGGTATTTTCCCTATTGTAAGTAATGGATGTTGGCTAGGTTGCTAATGGTTTACATGAGAAAGGATTAAGATGGTGTCCAAACTTTTTGTACTTTTTTTCAACAACATTTTAGATCCTATTTGTTTTATTTTCTATGAACAAAGGCACAGTTTAGTTTAGGTAATATATGTAAAAATGTGATGTCACGATAAAATATGTTAGTATTTGTACGAAAATAGCGTTTAACAGTTCGCTAGCTTGATGCTAACCAAATTTAGCTTGGCTAAGCGCTAACGTTAGTTAGCTCTAGGCTAGTTGGTTTCAGTCAATGTTAGCTTACATGTTAGTGGTTAATAATGTAATGGTTGTAGCATTGTTTCGCATAGGCCTCCAGTAATGTATAGTTTTTTCGAAATTGACACTGATAGTACAGTGAGTTTTTTATATAGCCTATATAAATATATATATATATAATGTGTAGATGTATGATGACTCCAGTTTTGCATGAACGGACCAACCAGACCCTCAAGACTGCCATGGGCAAGTCCCTTGACCGGTACCAGGAATGGTGGGAGGACAACCTGAAGGTAATTATCTTTGCACACAACAGCAGCGTCCAGGCCTCCAGAGTACTCACCCTATCGCCTGCTGTATGGATGGGAGACGCAGCTGTTTACTGAGGTAAACAATGCAATTGTATATACAATTATTGCATATACTGTAGTATACAAAAATGTGTGATTGACTTAGTGTTGTTTGTCTATTGCTATTTTTGTATAATGTACTTTGAGATCACTGAAACGCCACCTGATGTGGTGGAGGTTGTCGAACCAGTTCAGAATGCCTTCGAGGACCACCTTCAGGCATGGGCTGAGAAGGATGTGAAGGTTTTTGACCAGGTAAAAATTATTGACTGCTGTTAATTTATTTTCTGGCCCTCCAAGAGATATGTAAGATTTGTAATAATATGAAATATAATTGCATTTATTTATATTGTCAATCAAGGTGAGACTGAACATGGTCAAGGTGCAGGAGAAACAGAAGGAGAGCCACCGGAGGAGAATCAAGGGGACCAAGTGCTTCGACATCCGGGCGAATGACTTGGCTCGGAAGAAGGACAAAAGGAAGGCGAGACCTGGGAAACCTTTCTGCTCTTTCGCTCCTAGCTGGGGTCACCATCTGTTAAGTTGAATATAAACATCTCATAACTATTTGCATTTGCCTCATCGTGGTGGGCGGCATCACCATACTGTCAGCAGTACCAACACTGGCCCAGGGGTTTCTCCAAATAGTCAATCTCAAGGCTAACTACTGGGTCACGTTAAGTAACCTCCGCTTCCACGTAAGTAGTACTGTTAAGGTGTATGACTCCAGTGGTCATGACACCACCCTGGAGTTTCTCTCACAACTCATCTCTCATCTTTTCCAGGGACCATCCCTTACCTCCCTCATCAACCCCACTGACATAATAAATTACAGACAGGTATCCTTTCTTTTCTTTGCATGTCTAATCAAACATTTAAATTCAATAACTGTATTTTTATATGCCTGATCAACCTGTAACCTGTGTGTGTTTGCTTGTTTACGTCTGTCTCCTACCCTGTTCCCTTTACTCTGCTCCTGTCCTCCATTACCAACCACCCTCCAACTTTTCATTACATCATCTACAGCTACTGTTATTGTCATGTTGTCATTATCTGCTAAGAACGTTTTCTTGCTCTATTATACTGGGCACATAATGTGAGATACACAGATTAGCTAAAAACACTAGCACTGCAAACACTCAGAACAAAGAGAGCAGCAGTGCCTGGACTCCCTCTTCTGAGACTGACTGCCTGTTGAGAATAAGCTACAGGCAGGAGCTCCCATCCACACAGCACCCACCTCTCTATTCCACACACCAGAATTCAGTATTTCAGTCTATGATTGCCATGGGAGTGTACAAAAAATATGTGAAAGTAAATTGACACACATGTACCAAAAATATATATATTTAAATCTTAAATATTGGCAGATTGGTTTTCACCAGGTGTTCATTCAAATTGTAACGTATCCCTTGATGGTATTTCTTAGTTCAACATTATTCATTGTTGTATCCTAGGACCTACAATAGGTATATATTCAACCACAAGGGTGTACTATTGAGCTATGATATTTTTTTGTAAACATAATAGAGGACTACTGAAATAATATTATTTCAGTGTAGATAAGGGAAGGCAAGTTTAAAATGAAAACACGCTAGCCAGACAAGCCAGTGTATGAATCAACTGTATTTGCATATGAACGGAGTGGAAATTAGCTGACTTTGTGATCTGTAAGGTAAGTAACATTATTGTGTGTGTGGGGGGGGCATCAAATCTGTAGGCGATTGTGGGCTAAATCAATGACAAACAGCTAAAATGTTCAGGGTTTGTGATCAAAACAGGCTGGGGTGTTTTCGCTTCCGTTTAGGCTAAGGTTATGCATAAGAACGCAACAGCACAGAAATGAATAGCCTGATTCAATGCGATTCTCCTGAATAAAAAAGTATACATCTGTTAAACTCTTTGGTCTATGAATAGACCGATACCGATTGTATCTTTTTCGTATTTTGCAGTAGGCATAGCCTACCACTAATATTCTAAATTGCGGAGCATTTAATAAAACACAATTTTACAATGATGAGGCTGAGCAAGATCTTCGATAGACTAGTAGACTAGGCGGAAATAATCGTGGAGTTAATCATTGTTATAGCCTAGATCACTTTATATAATCTGGACTGTTTTTTCTACGGCTCAGCAAACAAGGGGTAGCATATGCTTTTTGCCTGTCTCTATAACAAAGGTTAGGCCTATATCCACACATACCCCCTCAATTCAAGCCCTGCTTTTAACCATAAGACATCTCCACAGAAATTAATAGCCTACGAATTGCATGGTGACAGTGATTGTGTCTGTTAAACCGGTAAACTGCGAACTCCGGGGGGGGACGGGGGGGGGGGGGGAAAAACGAGGTTGAATCAGTGATTTTCAGATCAGAGAAAGATGCCTGAGTTTCTGAATTGGAATTCCGAGTTGGATGACCATTCAAAACTATTTTTCCCAGTCTGAGCTCGTTTTTTTCCGAGTTCGCAGTTGTCTTGAACGTACTGAAGTTGTAAGTCAGAGATTGCAGAGTTTGGAGTTGTTTTGAATGCGCCACTAGAGACCAATGCTACCTGTTACCTTTTGAACAGGGCTACCTCCAACAAAGAAGACCTTGTGTCCGTAATGATTTCAGAAATAGGAATATCTAAACAGTAATGGTGGCTGGCTACAAATCAACTAGCCTAATACTTTTTGTATTGAGGTGATATGCCTATTTTAGCTAAAACGGGTTTCTCTATTTGTCCCAATGTCTGTATAGTTTTTCCTGGTGGGGTATCCGTAGTTGGTGATACGCATTGTGAAGAAGAATGTTGATGTTGTCAAAGTTGAAGAAGAGGACCCAGTGGTAATCAAACTTCAAATCGTGTCATTTGGTGAGTAACTGCCACATACAGAATCGATTGATTTAAATGTGGTGTCGTGATGTTATTATAATGTCACTTGTTAGCATTTCACACCCTAAGTATAACCTAGCTCACGATAGGTGTTGAGCCAGCTAAGAATATTCCCTGCTGCGATCAGGGAGCATTTTAATCAGATCTCTAGACTATAATCATGACAGATTGCTTGGTCGTTCAAGTTTGTTTCTTCGTGATTGTGGAGCAGCAAATCCAAGACCGACTTGTTGATTGTCAGAAGTGGCTAGCCAGCTGGTGGGCCGAGCAGAGCGCTTCAATTTATGTAGCAACTAACGTTAGCTAGCTAAATCGGCTGTACAGTAAGCTAGCTAAGGACAGTCAAATTCCGCTATGTTACCAATATGACACATTTTACACATTGATTGATCGCAGATTTTCTGGCTATTCTGTATAGCTAGTTATGCAAATGACAGCCAGGGCAGCCCAAATGACAAGGCAAATTTTTTTTTAATCTCGATATCAAATAATTTCTGTGTCACAATTAAAGCTGTAATATGTAACTTTTTGGGCGACCCGACCAAATTCACATTAAAATGTGAGTTAGATCATTGTCATTCAATTGAAAGCAAGTCTAAGAAGTGGTAGATCTGTTCTAAGTGTGCTATTTCTATGCTTCCATTCTTTAATTTAGTTTTTGTGTATTTTATTTTCGTTTTTTTACACCAGCATCAAATAGCTGAAAATACAATATTTTGGGTAATTGAAAATCTATTTCACAGCAGTTTAGATGGTACAATGATTCTCTATCATTGTACCATCTAAACTGAAATTATGCGAACTATTAGCATTTTAGCAACCAGGAAATGGTGGAGCGATTTCTGCGTATTGCACCTTTTAAGTACCTTAGGGAGTGAAAGCTATTTATAATAAGGGTTACATGGAGAAAATCGGACCTCTGAAATTAAAATGGATGGCCCTCCCTTCAGCTAAGTATATTTTACCTAAAGCCTCCCTGAACGATTAAAAACAACAACAAGTGACCTTCCCCTATACCCACAATAATAATTAAAACATAAAGTGGATAGCTGAGAACATGTTCACCCTCACTTCTTGGACAGACCAGAGCCTTAGATATGCAGTTTTAGAAACTGTTCTTCGTTCTGTAAGCATTAAATGGCAAAGAAGGGATTTTGATAGGGCTGCGGGCCAGAAGGTTGTGTGTTCGCAGACCACCGTGGACAAGCGTAGGGGTGGAAAGATCTCCTTTTTGCAGGTCCGAGAAATACGTAATTTTACATATTAGCGGAATCTTTTTTTAATACCACACAAATGACCGAAATTACAGGATAAGAATGGACAGAGAGATAGGCCTATGTGTTCATATTATCATATTTATCCAAGGACAAATCAGTGTGTCTTGTTTGGAACGAAACTGTCCCTGTTTGCAAATAATTAAATCTGAGACTTCATTAGGAATCTGAGCATGGTACTTTCAAAAGTTAGGCCTACCTTTCCACCCCAGACAGAGTAGGCCTACTGATGCAGAAAAAATGTAAGCTTTAACTACTGGCTAGTGGCTACTCTTCTTCCGTGGCTTAACCCAACGAGAGAAGGTCACAAGTGTTTACCTAAAAGTTGTCTGGGTTTAAACATCTTCTATTGTACAGAAAGTGAATAGCTTAATCAATAAAATATAACTTTGCTCTGTGCTTCTCCGAGCATGCACTTCGTAGCCTATAGGCTATGGATCATTTGATTGAGACCACACTAAATAGCCTATAGGCGCACTTGATATTGCGCGCCCAGCGGAGAATCACATCGGGCGGGTGGCATCAGGCACACATCGATATATAGCCTAATAAGCAACTAATTCTAAAACACTGAGAAATATGGAAATGTAATCAATTACAAATTACATTTTCCTTCAGGTAACCATTCTGTACATTTCGATCCATCCTATACTGAGATTGTTTTAAATTAAAATGGTAAAAAATAAACAAAATTAGCTTCTTCGCAAAGAGCTATTTCTCAAGCAAGAATTTAGCATAGACTGTCTGGGAGTGGTCTGAGTGGGGAGGGTAAACCTGAAAACTAGCCGTTATTGGCAGAGAGGTTTGGAAGTGGAACTCTCTTTCTTATTGGTCTGTTAATTACCAGGCAGGCCAAAACTCCATCCCAACAAAACAGGGATGGAGTTTCAGGCTGTCTTTTCAAACAGCACTTACACTAAAATGGCATTATCATAATTTTCACAATTTCACAGTGTTATTCCAACCTCATAGTGTGGGAATATATTTGAAGCACAGGAAAATCGTGTTTTTGTCTGCACTGGCACTTTAAACATTCAGTCCCCTTATTTGGTCTCTCAGCCTCTTCCACTTCAGTTCAAGAGGTCTAGGCCTACATCAAGCATCCTATGTTTTCTTTTGTATTTTAATATGCCATTTAGCAGATGCTTTTATCCAAAGCGACTTACAGTCATGCGTGCATACATTTTGTTGTGTATGGGTGGTCCCGGGGATCGAACCCACTACCTTGGCGTTACAAGCGCCGTGCTCTACCAGCTGAGCTACAGAGGACCACGTATTTGACCTTATCTAATGGGTTGTTCCACCTCAAAAAGCACAAGAAAGTGGATTTCGACACCCACCATCTCAGATTGTTGTGAAATCGTTTCTGTTGTTAGAAAAACAGATAAGCTTAGCATTCCTGCAACATAATTTTGTTGAAATATAATTTGATCTCTGAGAAATTAAGCTAATTGATAATTGGCCATTTTTTAATTCTAGGATTCATGTAATATTCAATAAACATAGTACTAAATATCCGATTTGGACCAAACTTTTATGAGTTAGACATGAGGAATCCAAATAAATTGTCAAAAGCCACCCACGGAACCGCCACACCCCACGGCAATCCTACCCCAACAATGAGTATACAGTATCAGTTCTCTATGTCTGACAAGTAGTATGGAGCTGCTGCTCAGAGTATTGTTTCTTCATCCTATATAATGTATTCTCAGTCAATTTTGTGATGTTTTTTTTCACTTGTTCTGAGAAATTAGTCATTAAAGTTGTTGGGTTTATGTCCCATCCTACATCCTGATATTACCAGGTTCTGACCACTAGATGGTGATGTTCTTGCTATTAGGTGACTTATTTTTGTTAAAAGAATAGTTCACCCTGAAAGCAGTCTATGGACCAGGTATGACAGCAATCCATGCTTTGGTTTTGTTTCTGGCCACTCTTTCAAATGCTAACCTTTTAACATTGTGTCACAAATCCAATGCAATTCTATGGTACCTATATTAGCATTTTCACACTTCATGTCCAAATCATCCTAAAGTATCTAAACATTGATTGTGTAACTCAATGATGTTACATATAGATTATTTGGATATGAAAATGGTCCAAATCGGATGTTGGGTACTATAATTATTGAATATTATATGAAACCTATCAATTTAAATGGACAATTTGGGTGCAATCTTTTAGCTTAATTTCTCAGAGATCAAATTATATTTAAACAAAATAATGTTTCCAGAATGCTTATCTTATCTGTTTCTAACTACAGAAATAATTTCAGAACAATCTGCGATGGTGGGTGTCATATCTTGCTGAAATGACATGGAACGACCCTACTATGAAATATGAAAGAAATGCACAGAGGTTGGTGTGGGTGGCAAGCTATGTCTTGTTTATAAGATGATGATGACATTACTGTGTATGTTTTCTTTCAGCTTGTCCTGGCTGGAGACTGAGTGAAGGATCATGGGTAACACAGGTGACCGGATGTCCGGCGACCGCCATGGCGCCAAGGCCCATCGATCAGACAGCAGAGGCAGCGACAAAGACCATGAGCCCAGCAAGATGGTGGACAGCACCGACGATCCTAACATCTTCAACACACATGGACTGGGGTCCTCCAAGGTACCTCAGCACTGCACTGGAACATAGGATTTATTTTCTGGAGGGCTGTGAAGACCCTCACAGTAGCCTCCAACCTTTACACTAACCCATCAAAAAGTTGTAATGAAACCAGTTGGATGTCATTTGTTTTAGGAGTGTGGAAACAGATGTAGGTGGGGGGAAATGTCCAGCCCAGGTGAAGGAGATGAGGCCACCTTAGCTCTGGTCCAGGCTGCTTGTCAACGCCATGGACCAGAGCTAAGAACACCTAGACCCTGTCATTCCCACATTGTGATTTCAGCTGATTCTCCCCTCAGGCGTCAGACAAGGAGGAGCCTGATCTGGATGACTTGGTGAAGACGGGGCCTCAGTCCAGACCTACAGTCATCCGCTGGGCCGGAGGAGGGAAGGAGGTCTACATCGCTGGCTCCTTCAACAACTGGGGCAACAAGATCCCCCTCAATAAGAGGTAGAAGAGGGGTGGGGAGGAGAGGCACTGGCCCTGGCTTACCAAAAAGGCCTGCACACTGTATTGCTCATATATTACCTTTTATTAGTGACAACATTTTGACACAGTTAATAGTACATTAACAAGATTCCCCCCCCCCCAGCCACAATGACTTTGTAGCGATCCTGGACTTGCCAGAGGGAGAGCACCAGTACAAGTTCTTTGTGGATGGACAGTGGGTCCATGACCCCTCAGAGGTAAACCCTACATAGGGCTCTGGCCTAAAGTAGACTACTAGATTGATTGATTGGTTGATTTTATTTTCTAGTAAAGAAATTGATATACAGTGCATTCGGAAAGTATTCAGACCCCTAGACATTTTCCACATTTTTTACTTTACAGCCTTGAGCTCAGATGCATCCTGTTTCCATTGATCATCCTTGAGATGTTTCTACAACTTGATTGGAGTCCACCTGTGGTAAATTCAATTGATTGGACATGATTTGGAAAGGCACACACCTGTCTATATAGGGTCCCACAGTTCATGTCAGAGCATTAACCAAGCTATGAGGTCAAAGGAATTGTCCGTAGAGCTCAGAGACAGGATTGTGTCGAGGCACAGATCTGGGGAAGGGTACCAAAAAATGTCTGCAGCATTGAAGGTCCCCAAGAACAAAGTGGCCTCCATCATTCTTAAATGGAAGAAGTTTGGAACCACCAAGTCTCTTCCTAGAGCTGGCTGCCCGGCCAAACTGAGCAATCGGGAGAGAAGGGCCTTGATCAGGGAGGTGACCAAGAACCCGATGGTCACTCTGACAGAGCTCCAGAATTCCTCTGTGGAGATGGGAGAACCTTCCAGAAAGACAACCATCTCTGCAGCACGTCACCAATCAGGCCTTTATTGTAGAGTGGCCAGACGGAAGCCACTCCTCAGTAAAAGGCACATGACAGCCCACTTGGAGTTTGCCAAAAGGCACCTAAAGGATTCCCAGACCATAAGAAAAAAGATTCTTTGGCCTGAATGCCAAGCCTCACGTCTGGAGGAAACCTGACACCATCCCTACGGTGAAGCATGGTGGTGGCAGCATCATGCTGTGGGGATGTTTTTCAGCGGCAGGGACTGGGAGACTAGTCTGGATCGAGGGAAAGATAAACAGAGAAAAGTACAGAGAGATCCTTGATGAAAACCTGCTCCAGAGCGCTTAGGACCTCAGATTGGGGTGAAGGTTCACCTTCCAACAGGACAACGACCCTAAGCACACAGCCCAGACAACGCAGGAGTGGCTTCAGAACAAGTCTCTGAATGTCCTTGAGTGGCCCAGCCAGAGCCTGGACATGAGTCTCCTGAGTGGCGCAGTGGTCTAAGGCACTGCATCGCAGTGCTAGCTGTGCCACTAGAGATCTTGGTTCGAATCCAGGCTCTGTCGTAGCCGGCCGCGACCGGGAGACCCATGGGGCGGCGCGCAATTGGCCCAGTGTCGTCCAGGGTAGGAGAGGGAATGGCCGGCAGGGATGTAGCTCAGTTGATAGAGCATGGCGTTTGCAACGCCAGGGTTGTGGGTTCGATTCCCACAAGGGGTATGAAAACAAATTGACTAAAATGTAAATGTAAATGTTGAACCCGATCGAACATCTCTGGAGAGACCTGAAAATAGCTGTGCAGCGACGCTCCCCATCCAACTTGACAGAGCTTGAGAGGATCTGCAGGGAAGAATGGCAGAAACTCCCCAGATACAGGTGTGTCAAGCTTGTAGCGTCATACCCAAGAAGACTCAAGGCTGTAATCACTGCCAAAGGTGCTTCAACAAAGTACTGAGTAAAGGGTCTGAATACTTATGTAAATGTGATATTTCAGTTTTTTTTTTTTTTTATACATTTGCAAAAATGTCTAAAAAACAGTTTTTGGTTTGTCATTATGGGGTATTGTGTGTAGATTGATGAGGGATAATAAAAAAATTATATATTTTTTTTTTAGAATAAGCTTGTAACGTAACAAAATGTGAAAATATTCAAGGTGTCTGAATACTTTCCCGAATGCACTGTACTTGTATGCCATTTAGCCATTTTATCCAAAGTGACTTAGTCAAGTGCATACGTTTTACGTATGGGTGGTACCCGGGAATTGAACCCACTACCATGGTGTTACAAGTGCCATGCTCTACCAACTGAATTACATATACACACAGTACAAAAACCTGACAGGGATAGCAGAATAAAGTCAGTGACTTGACTTACTTCCATGTCATTTTTGAGACGCAACCCAGATATTTTTTAGGCCCAACCTGAATGTATAAATATTTAATAACATATCTTTATAACATATTTGTTTTGCCATTTGCAGTCATGTGTTTTGGCGATCCAGCCATACTGTCTTTGTCATTAACTCTTTAGAACCCCTGGTTAACCCTGCTATAACACTCCCTCCTGCAGCCAGTGGTGACCAGCCAGTTGGGCACCATCAACAACCTGATCGAGGTGAAGCAGTCAGACTTTGAGGTGTTTGATGCGCTGCAGGTGGACTCTCTGGAGTCCACTGACACCTCAGGTCAGTTTGGCTCTCTTATCCTCTGTTGTCCCTTTTGGATTAAGCATAGCATCGTACTGCCCAAGATGTGCCAAGGCTAACACAATCATGTCAAACCGTGCAGCTAGAATAACGGCAAAATAGCTGCATTTCATTTCGTTTGACATGTTTATCTATTGACATTTCTTTGCATATATCCATAAAAATTATGCTGATTCATGATTTCGACTGGCTGAGAAAATATGTCAGTCTCGTCCTGACACGTTAATTCTCAATAGGACAGTGGAGATAGTTTCAATCTTAAAATACGATGTTGCAAATGTCGAGAGACAGACAGAAATGTTTGTACAACCCCCCCTCCCAGTTGTTGCAAACCAAATGTTAGGCTAGAAGCAAGGGGAAATAATGTCTAGATGCCTTTTTACAGTGGAGATCAAGTTAATGAATTGGCTGGCAGGGCTGATGGGACAGTGGATGAGCAGGGATTTCTCAGATTGAACAGAAACAAGATTCTCATTTTTGTGTAATAGGCTTACCCGTGCTAAACAGGTTTTTTAGTATGGCTTAGAACACGTCTCAACCAATCACAATGCTTGTTTTGATCAACCCTTTGTAGAATAATCATGAGCAGGTGTTTAAGGATAAGTTATGTAAGTTGGTGAAAACACAAGAAATCAGTGTCACCCTTTGAGAGTATATGAAATGCATGCTGTTATTGTCTGTCCTTAGATCTGTCCAGCTCCCCTCCAGGGCCATATGGACAGGAGCAGTACATGTTCAGGCCTGAGGAACGCTTCAAAGCCCCGCCCATCCTCCCCCCACACCTCCTCCAAGTCATCCTCAACAAGGACACCAACATCTCTGTAAATGTCTTTCTTCCTCAGTCTCCATCTCTTCCTATCTCTCTCGCCGTCCCTCTCGCTGTTCTTCTCTTTCTCTCTCCCATCGCCGTGATGTAAATACACATTTGGAAACTTCTTGATTGCTGATTCGTCTTCTGTCTCTCCCTCTCCTACAGTGCGACCCAGCCTTGCTGCCTGAACCCAACCACGTGATGCTCAACCACCTTTATGCTCTCTCAATAAAGGTACTGTAGGAGGGCATCAACAGCCCCCATCCCACTTCTTCCTGCAATACTTATGGATTGAGTAACAGTCCCTTCCATAACATAGCATTAGTAATGTATTACTTTACATTATCTATCTGTCTGTCTGTCTCACACACTTACTCCCTTTCCCCTCCCTCAGGATGGAGTGATGGTGCTCAGTGCGACTCACAGATATAAGAAGAAGTACGTCACATCTCTGCTATACAAGCCCATCTAACCTGTCTGTGTAGGTGCACAGTGCTGTAGAGGGCAGCATGTGAAAACTGTACTGGGTTTAACCATCATGTGTAGCTGAGATTGCACTAAACTAACAGTTTACTGATGAGCTGGGGGCCTGTGGCTGAGACTGGGGGCAAATCTCAAAGGACACCCTTTTCCTTGTACGGTGACCTACAGGGCTCCACAAAGGGCTCAAAGTAATGCATTCTATGGGGAGTAGGGTGTCATTTGAGTCTCAGCCTGTGACCCTCACAAATGAAAATACTTTGCATCCACAGTTTGACGGCGATAAGAAAAGGGACTGAGAAGGAAACCACTGTGTGTTTGTGTGTAGCACTTAGATTCTTTGCATGCGGGTGTGTAGAAAGGACATTTGGTTCCATTACAAACATGAAGGTTTGAAGAAAAGTCTGCTGATGGGACTTGGAAATGCATATAATCAAGATTGTTTTATTAAATGAGCTTTTAAAGGATATGAACACGGAAAGAGGGCCGTTGAAGGTTGCTGACTTGGATTATCGTGCGCTCCCATTCTTTGTCTATTATTGCTGTAGTTGGACAGTGACTGGAGGAATTGGAGGTTCATGCAGGGTCTTCCTTGTTTGATCCCAATGGGACGATGACCACTAATCTAATCATGAAATGCAATTGGATAGGCTGTACATTGAACTGAGTTGTAATTCAGTTAAAGTGTAACTAACAATGGACATTATATAGTATATCCCATTTAAGCCCACCCACTGGGCACATACTGGTTGAATCAACGTTGTTTCCACATCATTTCAATGAAATTACGTCTGTGCCCAGTGGGATATGATTTACAATTTTAAAATGTGAAAATCCATTTAAACTACTGTAAAGCCTCCCCTTTAAACTAGAGTCCTCGTTAACTAGAAAATATTAACTATGGGTTCTAGTTGTGGAATGTTGGGTCGTGGCTGTAAACCTGTGCTTAGTTCTGCTATTGCCTTTATGACACAATGCTGCAAGCACTTTAGTTACCCACCCACGTGTCTCCAACAAATGCTTTGAGCAGGACTGTTGACATAAGCTTTTAACTATGCAGATATATACGGACAAATATTGAACAGTAGCTTTATATTGGACCTCAGTGTCCAAGCTGCATTTTATAGGCCTAGATACAGCAATGGCTATGCTACGTGTATCTCTCTAGCCTATTTTCTATTTATCCAATGGGAATCTATTTCTGTGTGCCATATTTATAGCTTAAACTCCCAAATAATGGTTTGTCTTGAATGTTGTGCATGAATTGAATGTCTAGTATGAACCGTTTTATTATGGAATATGTGGTGGATCTCACAAGTGTGGTCTTATTATGGATTTCAATCAAGATTCGAAAATGTTATTCAGTAAAGTGAAAAATGGCCAATGTTGATTTCTTAACAATGTGAAAAAGCGTAATTTACTTTCATGAAGATTGTTACATTTGAGAATTCTGTGAATCTAACTTCACATTTTTGACCATAAGCCATTTCATATTTGTACTTTGTAAGAGTAATGTATCTGTTGCTTGTGATACCAATAGTCAATGTGGGCTGATATGTAGGTAATATACTCCAAAGAAAATATATATAATATTAATGATATATGAGAGATTTTATTTGAAGAAACTGAGTTAAGAAACTTTGACTGAAAGCCATATCTCACTCTGAGACTATACACAGTGTACAAAACATTAGGAACACCTTCCTAATATTGAGTTGCACCCCCTTTTGCCCTCACCCTCAATTCATCAGGGCATGAACTCTACAAGGTGTCAAGCGTTCCACAGGGATGCTGGCCCATGTTGAGTCCAATGCATCCCACAGTCGTGTCAAGGCTGGATGTCCTTTGGGTGGTGGACCATTCTTGATACACACGGGAAACTGTTGTGAGTGAAAAACCCAGCAGCTTTGCAGTTCTTGACACACTAAAACCGGTGCGCCTGGAACCTACTACCATACCCCGTTCAAAGCTACTTAAATATTTTGTATGGCCCATTCACCCTCTGAATGGCACACATGCAATCCATGTCTCAATTGCCTCGAGGCTTAAAAATCCTTCTTTAACCTGTCTCCTCCCCATCACCTACACTGATTGAAGTGGATTTAACATGTGACATCAATAAGGGATCATAGATTTCACCTGGTCAGTCTGTCAGGGAAAGAGCAGGTGTTCCTAATGTTTTGTACACTCAGTATACAATATATGATATTCTATAACTTTATTAGGCAAAAAACAAAACTTGAATTTTAAAACTGTTAGCTTACATGTTTGTTTTTCTGAATGCTTTGCAGCATCATTGTGTAAGCCAAGTACTGTAGAAGGTTGTTTCAGCTGTTTGCAAATAAAAAGGGAAGACATGTTGACCCTAAAGTATCAGTCGTGCCTAAGTAGTGTCTTTACCTAATGTTTGACGTGAGTGACTGACTATATTCTATCTGGCCTAGGCTATAGAAAATCTTAAATAGAAAAAGCATCAAGATAATCAGTAAACGGGGAGATTTTTGTACATTCCCCTTGCTCTATACAGACACACCTATAACATCAAAAGTTGTGACAAAGTTTTTTTTTTTGGTACTGTTTTATTATTTTTTGAACCCCAAAAGCCCTCTGTGATATAACACTGTGGCAACACCACACACAGTGACCATCTTCAGAGACAGAGCCCATAGTCAAGCTCTGTGTCGGCATCCTAGTTAGCTTCATCATCACACACAGAACCTTACAAACCAAGCTGCTCTTTGATTTCAATCACATAGCGTTATTTACATAATTAAGTACTACTAGACACAGCTAAATACTGCTGTTTGATTCCTTTCTACACAACGCACAGTAAAATGGCATTGTTCACGCTCTCTGGCAATGTACTGTTCTACTCTGATCCAATCTGACTCAATCCTATACATCTATGGTTTGTGTTTCTGCTTTGGTATAAAATATTCATTTATCTTAATCGTTCTCATAATCTTCTCATCAAATCCTTATTTTCCAAATGAACCACACAGCATGGGGTTTTATCTTAGAATGTTTGGCAATTTACCTCTAGGGATTTTCAATTGAGTGGAGTGCAAACAAGACCTTGTTGGCAGATCTATTGTGATATATATCTATATAGGATAGACACCAAGCGCTAGTAACGCCAAGTAAGTGTTGCGAGTAAATTTTAAAGGCAAGCAAAGCAACATTATCTATCCAAAGCTTAATATTAGGTGGGTGTGTAAGCAATACTACTGCTTGGTTTCCGTTAAATCCTAAGAAAAGGCATATATTTAAGATTTCATAACATATGTGACTATCTTATTACAATCTGGCATAATCCAAAAAATCTAATTTACAATACAAAGCAGAAAAGAAAACACTCAAGGAAGCAAAACTATTCTTAATACAATGATGTTTAACATCAAAATAAAGCTGACATAGTGTATAGCTATTGCACAGCTACCCAGCAATTCAACATTTGCATATAGAGCAAAAGTCTGACATGATTATCCACACACAAAAAGGTCAACAGAATACAGTGAAAAACGAGTCATTTACAGCGTGGAAAGGGCTAAATGTACAGCTAGAACACACAAAACAATCAAAAGCAGCGTAGGAAGAAACACCTTTGGGTGTGACATCTTCACCTATTGTGAAATCTAGAACATCGGTCCCACCAGTAGCCTGCCAAAGTTTGGAACAGCTAGGAGAGTAAGGAATATGTTGCCAATAACACCATGGGAATGCAATGATGATCTAAACTGAGACAAAAAAGAAGTCCAATGGAAATTTAACAATCCAGAATAATATTCTCTGGTTTCGTGGTACATCTCTCACAGGAGCACAATTTCGATTTTTGTAATTCACATAGCAGTAGTAGCCTAGTGTGAAAGATTCTCTTTTTGAAAGGTTTGGCCCATTAATGACGATATGCTCGTTAATAAAGCACATGTCCAACTAAAGTGAACTTATCATCTGACGGTTACCGTCTCTCTGCTTCAAATGGCTCTCAAAGAGCAGCCACTAAAATGATATCTCCATCATATTGTCATAGGTGGTCTCATATACTAGGCTGATGTCTTCCTATAGAGTCACATCATGCTTACAATAGGCTATGTCATTCGCATAGGTATGGCAAACAAGTACACGAAGAGTTCAAAGTTCAAACTTTGGCAAGTATTGGTGATACTCTGTTCCACGAACAAAGGTTTAGATTGTTCCTTTTCAAACTTCTGATGCATCAACACTGCATAAAAACTACATTTTATTTCAGTCAGTAGTATTCAGGATAGTAAGTAATATAATATTGTACTGACAATCTTTTTCACCTTATCAAGAGTGGCTAAATGCTTAAGTTTCAGTGTCAGGCAAAAAGCAAAATAGCTGGTGCGCCATGATCATTCAATAAACAACGTCATTATTGCACATGCTCGTCTGAGGACTCCTAAAGAGGAGCTTGAATACGCGTGTTCGGCCTCGGCCCATTTCAGCTCCTACTTTAGCCCTTACCTCTTCAGTGTTAGATCATCGGAGGGCTAGGTGGAGCCATAACCATATTGCTTTCACCTATCTGGTCCATTCAGATCTGTGAACACTGATGAGGTAGGTGCTAAGGGAAGGGGTTAGTGATTGAAATGGAACGGGGCCTTTGTTCTGCTATCCAGAACACTTGGCTAATGGCAGAGACCATTCACAGGCATCATCCTCCACAGATAAATATGGCACACAATTACCTAGAAGTGTTACACCTATACATTCCTCCACTGTGATTCCAGCAGATTTACATATGCTAGATTGTGGATGTCATTGTATTTTTTGCATTGTATTTGCAAAGAAAGTCCTCGTTGATGAAATGCCACAAGAAGAAAGCTTGCATTTCAGTGGCAATCGAAGTTGAAGATTTGTTTGAAAATAAATTGATTGATCATGTATGTCTGTGAATGTATGTGTGTGTACTGTACTTTGTGTGTATACGTTTGTATACATTTCCTTTCTCAAGCCTTGAGTTCACATGCATTGACACTTATCCCGTCCAAACGCTACCAGGCAGAGGAGCACGCTCTTTCTATGCTCCGGGTAGAAGCTTCCCTTAGCCACAGATCTAGGATCAGCTTACTTCCCCATATTCCATTAACTTAACCAATAAGGAAAAGGCAAATCTGACCTTAGATCAGTCTCTAGAGGCAGCTTCATCCTACTCCTTCTACTGCAGTCAAGGACGCACATTACTGTTACCATCAGAGGTACATTTCAAACCACCTTCTTCACACTCAAAAGACAAACATCAGACTGAACCAACAGTCTCTGGAGCTAAAAGACACCAACAGAAGAACAGGGATGGGTGGAGGTGGGCGAAAAGAAAGGGATGGATGAAGAACAGTCAAACGAGGGTAGAGGAATGCACACTAAAGGAGGAAGAGTTCAGGTAAGGCTTGAGGTGCAGGAGGCAGGAGTCTTGGGCAAGAATTGCCGGCAGGAGAGAAATGGTGGAGAAAGAAAGAAAGATGGATGGAGTGCTCTGAGGATTGACGTTCGATGCTATAGACTAGGCGGAGAGGTGGATGGGGTGAAAGGTGAGGCAGAGGAGGTGTTGTGGCTGTTCTGGCGGTGAGGTCAGAGGTCGTGGTGTTGGGCTGGCTGGTTCTTTAACAGGTCAGCACCTGAAACAGGCACTGGCTGCTGCGCTTCCTGGTTCCCGGACGCTGATTGGACTTTGCTGGGGCGTCACCAGGCTTCAAGAAACTCCAATCAGTAGGCCGTTCATTGGCGGGACTTCGGACTTCAGCTAAGAGGGAGTAGAGGGAAAAAATAGATGATTCACTGGTACACTCCTGTTACATACCCAGATGAGGATGCCACAGCCAAAAAGTTTATGAAAAATTGTTACAACTTCACACTGCAATGAAGAGTAGAGTGTGCAAAGGTTAGGTTATTCCGCAAGTACTCCAAAGATTTGCTGCGGTTAAAGGTTAATGGAATATTTGAAATATGTTTTTGCTTTGTTAGCATGAAACCACAACAATAGCTTAAGCGCTTGCAGATGAAGAGAAGCTGAAAATGCCATTGAGTGAGTGATAGTTGCAGCATGTATATTGTTATCTAAAAACCTTCCCTCAGTAAGTAACATGTATTAAGTGTAACTACCGGTAAAAGTCTTAAAAAGCTTCAGCCTGCCCTGGCTTTCAGCCAATCACACCCCCTGCTGTCAATTGATGCCATTACTCTTTTGATGAAGGACAGCAGTTAGTCTTTTTAAAGGCTATCAGGCTATACTTGTGTGTGTGTGTCCTTGGGAGAGAAATACTTTCTAGTATTTTAATGATTGCCTTCAGAGAATGGAAACTATGTATATATTTACATCTGCAATAGTACAGAAATATCATCATAGTGGGTGGTCCCAATAGTGGATCACTTAGGCTGTGTTTACACAGGCAGCCCAATTCTGATCTTTTTTGCACTAATTGTTTTTTTGACCAATCACATCAGATCTTTTCACATCAGATCTTTTTCAGAGCTGATGTAATTGGTCAAAAGACAAATGAGTGAAAAAAACTTTAGAATTGGGCTGCCTGTGTAAACACAGCCTTAGTACACTGAACAAAAATATAAACACATAAAAGATCCCAGAAATGTTCCATACCCACAAAAAGCTTATTTCTCTCAAATGTTGTGCACAAATTTGTTTACATCCCTGTTAGTGAGCATTTCTCCTTTGCCAATATAATCCTTCCACCTGACAGGTGTGGCATATCAAGAAGCTGATTAAACAGCATGATCATTACATAGATGCACCTTGTGCTGGGGACAATAAAAGGCCATTCTAAAATGTGCAGTTTTGTCACAAAACACAATGCCACAGATGTCTCATGTTTTGACGGAGCGTGCAATTGGCAAGATGACTTTAGGAATGTCCACCAGAGCTGTTGCCAGATAATTTAACGTTAATTTCTCTACCATAAGCCGCCTCCAACGTCATTTTAGAGAATTTGTCAGTACGTCCAACCGGCCTCACAACCGCAGACCATGTGTAACCATGCAAGCCCAGGACCTCCACATCCGGCTTCTTCACCTGCTGGATCGTCTGAGACCAACCACCTGGACAGCTGATGAAACTGTGGGTTTGCACAAGAAGTTCTGCACAAACTCTCAGAAACCGTCTCAGGGAAGCTCATCTGTGTGCTCGTCGTCCTCACCAGGGTCTTGACCTAACTGCAGTTCGGCACCTTAATTGGGGAGGACGGGCTCGTGATAATGGCTGGAGCGGAATAGGTGGAATGGTATCAAATGCAACAAACACATGGTTTCCATTTGTTCGATGCCATTCCATTTGCTCCATTCCAGCCATTATTATGAGCCGTCCTCCTCTCAGCAGCCTCCACTAATGCACAGAGATACCCTTTACGAGATCCTGAGGCCCATTTTCGTTCCATTCATCCGCCTCCATCACCTCATGTTTCAGCATGATAATGCACGGGTCGCAAGGATCTGTACACAATTCCTGGAAAGCTGAAAATGTCCCAGTTCTTCCATGGCCTTCATACTCACCAGACATGTCACCCATTGAGCATGTTTGGGATGCTCTGGATCAACGTGTACGACATATGATATCCAGCAACTTCACACAATCTTTGAAGAGGAGTGGGACAACCTTCTACAGGCCACAATCAACAGACTGATCAACTCTATGCGAAGGAGATGTGTCGCGCTGCATGAGGCAAATGCTGGTCACACCAGATACTGACTGGTTTTCTGATCCACACCCCTACCTTTTGTATCTTTGACCCACAGATGCATATCTGTATTCCCAGTCATGTGAAATCCCAGTCATGTGAAATCCATAGATTAGGGCCTGTAACTCAGTAAAATATTTGAAATTGTTGCATATTGCATTTATATTTTTGTTCAGCGTATAAACAGCTATTAAATATAATTATAGAGATTATAAAAATACCATTGAGGTGTTGATTTAGGACAAGGTATTGGTTTCTATGACTTATATTCATCCATTTGTACGACCTATATGGTAGTCCTTAAATATTATTATTCTGTTGTTTGATTGGATGGTAAAACAGTGATGTCACACAGCATGACAGGCACAACAGGCCAAGCCACAGCGTGCCAAACCCTTTACCAGCATAAGGAGAGGAAGAGGAGGAGCTTAGAGAGGACATCCTCCGATCGTTCTTCTGGAAGTACTCAGGGGAAAGGAGGAGGAGGAGAGGAAGGAGGGAAGAGACAAACACAGGATGAAGGAACAGGTGAAACAGACAGGGAGGGTGCAAACAGAGACAACACTAGAGATACAGTACTGACACTGGGACTGGGTAACCAGATACTGAACACAACACATTAACAACATGGTATACAAGATGGGCAGGAAAATGATAATATCTTACCTCCAAGTTAGTCCTTGCTTTTTTCAGCACATCGCGAGTCCTTGATACTGCATTGAAAAGGCGAAATGCACAATAAGAAGAAACATCTAACTAGGACCTTTTGCTGTAACACACACCCACACACTCACGCTGGTTGATGATGAAGTGCTCCATGCTTTCCTTGGTGCGGCTGGTGCTCCTCAGTCTCTGGATGGTTCCTTGAAGCACCTCCTCCTGCTCCGAGATACGCCCCCTCAGAGACAGAATCTCCTCCTGCATACACTGCTCCTGCAGCGGTCACAGCAATCAATCAATCAATAAATACACTGACCAATCAACTCAATAATTCTATCAAACAATAAACTAAACAACAGTTCATATGTCTGCCTAGCAACCTGCATAGCCAATAGAGAGCCTCACAGCCACCACATGGTTGACACATGATGTCATGTGTCACACACCATCAATTACAACAAATCGATACATAATATACTGGTAGTAAATCATGTATATTGCACCTTCTTAAGGCTATGGGTGGAACGGTCTGTGTTGGGCAGGGCAGCCCTCCAGAACATCTTCAGCAGGGACACAACCTCCTCTAGGATCTGTCTCAGGGTCTTGGTGTTAGACAGCAGACTCCTCACACACCCATAGTCCAGGAGGACCTATACAGAGACACAGACACAGTTAGCTAGACTCATTCAATTTCTTGAAAGTAGCTGTAGTGACAGACTGTTTACATTGAGTAGGTGGCCAGCGTGCACGATTTGGTTCTGGGTTTCGAGATAAGGTAGTCGATAATTTAGTTGTTTGCACAAATAGTGCTACTTTCCCTTCAACCTCCTCTTACCTGGTCCTGGCTGCCCTCCAGCATTGATTGGCTGAGGCAGGCCTGCAGAGCTGTTTCCATTCGCTGGACCAAACTCCTCCCCTCCAGGACCTGCTGCTGCAGAGCGCTGTAGTCGTCCACGTGCCCAATGGCATGGCGCCCGTTCCGGTTAGAGAACGAACCGTCCGGGGCGTCACCCTCCAGCTCTGAGTGGGGGTCCAGATCTGTAGGAGGGGAGGAAGACGGAGAGGCAAGGGCTTAGTGTCAGACTAACTGGTAAATGAGAGAATTGGAGATGATATTAGTTTACTTTTTATTTTTTTAGGTAATGAGAGTGATTCAACATCCGGGATAACATCCTTCCTGGACTATTTTAACCTTATAACCAAACTTGTGTAAACTCCTACAGATACAGTTGAAGTCGGAAGTTTACATACACTTAGGTTGGAGTCATTAAAACTAGTTTTTCAACACCTCCACAAATTTCTTGGTAACAAACTATAGTTTTGGCAAGTCGGTTAGGACATCTACTTTGTGCATGACACAAGTAATTTTTCCAACAATTGTTTACAGACAGATTATTTCACTTATAATTCACTGTATCACAATTCCAGTGGGTCAGAAGTTTACATACACTAAGTTGACTGTGCGTTTAAACAGCTTGGAAAATTCCAGCAAATTATGTCTTGGCTTTAGAAGCTGCTGATAGGCTAATTGACATCATTTGAGTCAATTGGAGGTGTACCTGTGGATGTATTTCAAGGCCTACCTTCAAACTCAGTCCCTCTTTGCTTGAAATCATAGGAAAACCAAAAGAAATCAACCAAGACCTCAGAAAAAAAATTGCAGACCTCCACAAGTCTGGTTCATCCTTGGGAGCAATTTCCAAATGCCTGAATGTACCACGTTCATCTGTACAAACAATAGTACGCAAGTATATACACGCAGCCATCATACCGCTCAGGAAGGAGACGCATTCTGTCTCCTAGAGATGAACGTACTTTGGTGTGAAAAGTGCAAATCAATCCCAGTGCAAGAGCAAAGGACCTTGTGAAGATGCTGGAGGAAACAGGTACAAAAGTATCTATATCCACAGTAAAACAAGTCCTATATCGACATAACCTGAAAGGCTGCTCAGCAAGGAAGAAGCCACTGCTCCAAAACCGCCATAAAAAAGCCAGACTACGGTTTGCAACTGCACATGGGGACAAAGATCGTACTTTTTGGAGAACTGTCCTCTGGTCTGATGAAACAAAAATAGAACTGTTTGGCTATAATGACCATCGTTATGTTTGGAGGAAAAGGGGGTTGCTTGCAAGCCGAAGAACACCATCCCAACCGTGAAGAACGGTGGTGGCAGCATCATGCTGTGGGGGTGCTTTGCTGCAGGAGGGACTGGTGCACTTCACAAAATAGATGGCATCATGAGGAAGGAAAATTATGTGGTAATATTGAAGCAACATCTCAAGACATCAGTCAGGAAGTTAAAGCTTGGTCGCAAATGAGTCTTCCAAATGGACAATGACCCCAAGCATACTTCCAAAGTTGTGGCAAAATGGCTTAAGGACAACAAAGTCAATGTATTGGAGTGGCCATCATAAAGCCCTGACCTCAATCCTATAGAAGATTTGTGGGCAGAACTGAAAAAGCATGTGCGAGCAAGGAGGCCTACAAACCTGACTCAGTTACATCAGCTCTGTCAGGAGGAATGGGCCAAAATTCACCCAACTTATTTAGGGAAGCTTGTGGAAGGCTACCCGAAACGTTTGACCCAAGTTAAACAATTTAAAGGCAATGCTCCCAAATACTAATTGAGTGTATGTAAACTTCTGACCCACAGGGAATGTGATGAATGAAATAAAAGCTGAAATAAATAATTCTCTCTACTATTATTCTGACATTTCACATTCTTAAAATAAAGTGGTGATCCTAACTGACTGTCATGGATTCTGCCGAGGCTGCCCCTCCTCCTTGCTCGGGCAGGCTTCGGCGTTCGTCGTCACCGGAAGTACTAGCTGCTGCCGATCTATGTTCTATGTTTCTATGTTCTACCTGTTGTCTGATTGTCTCACACCTGTTTCCCATCGGGCAATTACTCCTTCCCTATTTAACCCGATGGCTCCCATTGTGTTTTGTGCGTGTTTGTTATTTCGTTTCGTGTGTCGTTTGGTGAGCGGGTTTACTCCTCCCTGTGTGGAGGTATTTTGTATTTGATTCTTTACTTGTTAGTAAAGTACGTTTTCATTGAGTTCTGTGTCCTGCGCCTGACTTCGATCCACCGCATTACACTGACACGGAATTTTTACTAGGATAAAATGTCAGGAATTGTGAAAAACTGAGTTTAAATGTATTTGGCTAAGGTGTATGTAAACTTCCGACTTCAACTGTATATAAATCTGATATGTACAACTCTCATTTCCCAATTTGTCACACATCACACCGCGATTAAACAGGATGCAGTGCAGTTAGAATTAGAGTCACACCATTGGCAGTGAGCGGGGTCTCCTCCAGGTCCGTGTAGGGGACGTGGTATGGAGATCCACAGTTAAACAGCCCAATGTCTCTGACCGGGGGAGACGGAGCTGGGTCTGCAGAAGATCACACACAGAGACAGACAGGGATGCTCGGTCACCACACACACACACAACCCTGAATATTAAACTACATTTACTAAATGATAATGCTTAAAATAAAAAAATGCATTAGTCTGTTGTTATTAGTTCATTAAACACGGCAATCAGTCAGTTCAATGGGATTTGCATGAGACAAACTGGTTGGTCCCATTGATAGTGTTGAAGAGTAGGCCAATATTAAGCTTAGGCTGGCATTGAGTATTGGTGCCTATCAAGCTGATATCAAAATGTATTTCCATACTGTACACACAAACCACACCATTACACCACACAACACCCCCTTACCATGCAGTAGCTGCCGTCTGTAGAGGCTGTCCCTCTGTGGGCTGGCAGTAAGGGCACTGAGAGACGGGGTACGAGGGGGCTCCATCCCCCCAATGCCCCCCACCCCTCTGTGGACCCCAGCTCCCAGCTTCTGCTCCAGGTGTTTGTGGAGCTCCAGCTGTTTCAGGACGCTGTTCTCCTGGACACTGGACTGGAGCTGTGCTCTGAGGCTCCTCACCTCCCCTAGCAGCTCCCCCAGCTCCACGGGCAGGGCAGGGACCCCACCGTACTGTCCCTCACACCGGTACCCTGAAAATCACAATAGTGTCAGTCAATATAACAGTGAATGTCATAGGCCCACAGCAAGTATAGGTCCTCTAAACAACCTAAATCAAAATAGGAACTTCTGAGCGTAATTTGGAATTCTATGCAAGCAATGTCTGAAACATACAAAAGTCCCAGTTATGTGCACATATCTGAAGTTAGGATATTATTTTAACAAATGTTTCCATTGGTAAGGATTGATATCAAGGCAAATTCCTGAATTACAGTGCTCTATGAATCCACTAGCCTGTGGATAAAGTGAGTAAGCTTACCTGGGTTGCCCTTGGTGTTGGCACACACTCTGTCGTACACCTGCAGCTCACTCTGTAGAGAGTGGAGCAGCTCCCTGCTTTCACACAACTGCTGCTGCAGCAGGGACACCTCATGCTGGAGACTGGAGAGAAGAGAGAGATACAGGGTGAATAAACACACACACACACACACACACACACACACACACACACACACACACACACACACACACACACACACACACCTATTGTTCTTCTCATGGCTGTTCTGCCTCTCCTGTCTGAGTGTGTGTATCTGCTGCCCCTGCTCCTGGCTGTGTGTCTGCAGCCGTCGGAGCTCCTCCTTCCACTGCTCCGCCTCTAGCTCCGCCTGCTTCAGGCGGGCACGCCCCGTCACCACCACCTTACGCAGCTGCTCTGCCTCCTCACATGTATCTGAGGGGAACCACATATGATGGAGGGGCAAAGTTAGACACTACATCCGATCTAATGATTCAGCCATATAGACAAAATATGCAGAATGTGGTGCCATGTTGACCACAGCGTGGGTTGGTGCGATGCAGTACCTGAGCTGGCCTGTAGGTGTGCCTGGAGAGCCAGGTTCTCCTCTTTCAGGACTCGGATCTCATTGGACAGCTGGCTGACAGAGTCCAGCCCCTGGATATAGATGTTAGTGGGGGCTCCTCCGTCGTGGCCGGTGGTGGCCAGGCGTTCCTCTAGCTGCTGTCTGAGCCTCTCATTGGTCCTGATGGTCTCCTCCAGACGCTGACGCAGACACCGCACCTCTCTAAGGTGCTCTTCGATCACGTCCACACCTGGGGAACACAGGGCAGAGAAGGGGGTAGATCAGCTTTAATATTGCAGATAGATTGTAACTTCCATCAATGTAATTGTCTGCATCACTTTCAATCCCCCATATGTTTTTTTTCTCTCACAAATATATATGTGTATATATATATATATATATATATATATACAGTGAGCTCCATAATTCATTGGACAGTGACCATTGTTTTGTTATTTTGGTTCTGTACTCTAGCACTTTGAGTTTGAAAGGATACAATGACAATGAGCATGAAGTGCAGACTGTCAGCTTTAATTTGAGGGTACTTTCATACATATCGGATGAACCGTTTAGAAATGACAGCACCTTTTGTACACGGTCCCCCCATTTTAAGGTACTACAAGTTTTTGTTAAATTGGCTTCACAGATGTGTGTCGTTAGGCAGGTGTATTCATTTGTGTCGTTAGTGAATGCAGGAGAGCTGTTGATGAATAGTAATGATTCTAGACTTTGCTATTGCCTTTGGAGGTTGTTATTGGGGTGTGACAACATGAGGAAGACAGCAGTGTCGATGCAAATGAAGTTGGCCGTCATAAGGCTCAGAAATGAAAATCAATCATTCAGGAACATTGCAAAAAAAACCCTGGCCATGCCCAAGTCAACAGTTTGTTCATCATTAACAAGAAAAAAAACAACCGGTGAACTCAATTATGTCAAAAGACCCGGTAGACAGAGGAAGACCACTGTAGTGGATGACCGGAGAATACTCTCTATGGTGAAGAAAACCCCCCTGACAACAGCCCAACAGATCAAAAACACTCTCCTGGATGCAGGTGTAGATGTGTCAAAGTCTACCACACGCAGAAGACTACACCAGCAGGACTACAGAGGGTACACTACAAGATGCAAACCACTGATAAGCCTGAAGAACAGAAAGGCAAGATTACAGTTTGCTAAAAAGCACCTAAAAGAGCCCCAAGAGTTCTGGAAAAAAGTATTGTGGACAGATGAGACAAAGATTAACATGTACCAGAGTGATGGAAAGACAAATTTGTGGAGAAAAAAAGAAATGCCCATGATCCAAAGCATACCACCTCATCCAGAACATGGTGGAGGGGGTGTTATGGCTTGGGCCTGTATGGCTGCCAGTGGAACAGGCTCACTTGTCTTCATCGATGATGTGACTGCAGACAGAAGTAGAACAATGAATTCTGAAGTCTACAGAAATATTTTATCTGCTCAGATAAAACCAAATGCCTCCAAACTCTTTGGACGGCACTTAATCATGCAACAAGACAATGACCCTAAACCATACTGCTAGAGCAAAAAAGGGGGTTTTTTGATGGCCAAAAAGTGGAAAACTTGCTTGGCCTCATGACCGTGACCGCAAGGCACTACAGAGGGTAGTGCGTACGCCCCAGTACATCACTGGGGCAAAGCTCCCTGCCATCCAGGACCTCTATACCAGGCGGTGTCAGAGGAAGGCCCTCAAAATTGTCAAAACTCCAGCCACCCTAGTCATAGACTGTTCTCTCTGCTACCGCACGGCAACGCGTTACCGGAGTCCAAGTCTAGTCCAAAAGACTTCTCAACAGCTTCTACCCCCAAGCCATAAGACTCCTGAACAGCTATCATGGCTACCCGGGACTATTTGCCACTGCCCCCCCCACCCCCATCCTTTTTACGCTGCTGCCTACTCTGTTTAAGTATTTATGCATAGTCACTTTAACTCTACCCAAATGTACATATTACCTCAACTACCTCAACTAGCCGGTGCCCCCGCACATTGACTATGCAACGGGCCCCCCTGTATATATAGCCTCCCTACTGTCACTTTATTTTACTGTATATATAGCCTCCCTACTGTCACTTTAATTTTACTTCTGCTCTTTTTTTCTCAACACTTTTTTGTTGTTGTTTTATTCTTACTTTTTTTGTTTAAAATAAATGCACTGTTGGTTAAGGGCTGTAAGTAAGCATTTCACTGTAATGTCTGCACCTGTTGTATTCGGCGCATGTGACCAATAAAATTTGATTTGATTTGATTTGATGTGTCTGTCTATCCCTGTTCTCTCCTCTCTGCACAGGCCATATAAACGCTTCACACCGCGTGGCTGCTGCCACTCTAATCTGGTGGTCCCTGCGCGCACGACCCACGTGGAGTTCCAGGTCTCCGGCAGCCTCTGGAACTGCCGTTCTACGGCCAACAAGGCAGAGTTCATCTCAGCCTATGCTACCCTCCAGTCCCTCGACTTCTTGGCGCTGACGGAAACATGGATTACCACAGAAAACACTGCTACTCCTACTGCTCTTTCCTCGTCTGATCATGTGTTCTCGCATACCCCGAGAGCATCTGGTCAGCGCGGCGGTGGCACAGGAATCCTCATCTCTCCCAAGTGGACATTCTCTCTTTTCCCCCTGACCCATCTGTCTATCTCCTCATTTGAATTCCATGCTATCACAGTCACTAGCCCATTCAAGCTTAACATCCTTATCATTTATCGGCCTCCAGGTTCTCTTGGAGAGTTCATCAATGAGCTTGACGCCTTGATAAGTTCCTTTCCTGAGGATGGCTCACCCCTCACAGTTCTGGGTGACTTTAACCTCCCTACGTCTGCCTTTGACTCATTTCTCTCTGCCTCCTTCTTTCTACTCCTTTCCTCTTTTGACCTTACCCACTCACCATTCCCCCCTACTCACAAGGCAGGCAATACGCTTGACCTCATCTTTACTAGATGCTGTTCTTCTACTAATCTCACTGCAACTCCCCTCCAAGTCTCCGACCACTACTTTGTATCCTTTTCTCTCTCGCTCTCCTCCAACACTACTCACTCTGCCCCTACTCAGATGGTAATGTGCCGTCGCAACCTTCGCTCTCTCTCTCCCGCTACTCTCTCCTCTTCCATCCTATCATCCCTCTGCTAAATCCTTCTCCCTCCGATCTCCTGATTCTGCCTCCTCAACCCTCCTCTCCTCCCTTTCTACATCTTTTGACTCTCTATGTCCCCTATCCTCCCGGCCGGCTCGGTCCTCCCCTCCTGCTCCGTGGCTTGATGACTCATTGCGAGCTCACAGAACAGGGCTCCGGGCAACCGAGCGGAAATGGAGGAAAACTAGACTCCCTGCGGACCTGTCATCTTTTCACTCCCTCCTCTCTACATTTTCTTATTCTGTTTCTGCTGCTAAAGCCACTTTCTACCACTCTAAATGTCAAGCCTCTGCCTCTAACCCTAGGAAGCACTTTGCCACCTTCTCCTCCCTGCTGAATCCTCCTCCTCCTCCCCCTCCCTCCTCCCTCTCTGTGGATGACTTCGTCAACCATTTTGAAAAGAAGGTTGACGACATCCGATCCTCATTTATTAAGTCAAATGACACTGCTGGTCATGCTCACACTGCCCTACAATATGCTTTGACTTCTTTCTCCCCTCTCTCTCCAGATGAAATCTTGCAACTTGTGACGGACGGCCGTCCAACAACCTGCCCGCTTGACCCTATCCCCTCCTCTCTTCTCCAGACCATTTCTGGAGACCTTCTCCCTTACCTCACCTCGCTCATCAACTCATCCTTGACCGCTGGCTATGTCCCTTCCGTCTTCAAGAGAGCGAGAGTAGCACCCCTCCTCAAAAAACCTACACTCGATCCCTCCATTGTCAACAACTACAGACCAGTATCCCTTCTTTCTTTTCTCTCCAAAACTCTTGAGCGTGCCGTCTCTAGCCAAACTCTCCTGCTATCTCTCTCAGAATGACCTTCTTGATCCAAACTAGTCAGGTTTCAAGACTGGTCATTCAACTGAGACTGCTCTTCTCTGTGTCACGGAGGCTCTCCGCACTGCTAAAGCTAACTCTCTCTCCTCTGCTCTTATCCTTCTAGACCTATCTGCTGCCTTTGATACTGCAAACCATCAGATCCTCCTCTCCACCCTCTACGAGTTGGGCATCTCCGGCGCTGCTCACTCTTGGATTGCGTCCTACCTGACAGGTCACTCCTACCAGGTGGTGTGGTGAGAATCTGTCTCCGCACCACGTGCTCTCACCACTGGTGTCTCCCAGGACTCAGTTCTAGGCCCTCTCCTATTCTCTCTATGCACCAAGTCACTTGGCTCTGTCATATCCTCACATGGTCTCTCCTATCATTGCTACGCAGACGACACACAATTAATTTTCTCCTTTCCCCCTTCTGATAACCAGGTGGTGAATCGCATCTCTGCATGTCTGGCGGACATATCAGTGTGGATGTCGGATCACCACCTCAAGCTGAACCTCGGCAAGACGGAGCTGCTCTTCCTCCCGGGGAAGGACTGCCCGCTCCATGATCTCGCCATCACGGTTGACAACTCCATTGTGTCCTCCTCCCAGAGTGCAAGGAACCTTGGCGTGACCCTGGACATCACCCTGTCATTCTCCGCTAACATCAAAGCGGTGACCCGATCCTGCAGGTTCATGCTCTACAACATTCGCAGAGTACGACTCTACCTTACACAGAAAGCGGCACAGGTCCTAATCCAGGCACTTGTCATCTCCCCTCTGGATTACTGCAACTCGCTGTTGGCTGGGCTCCCTGCCTGGGCCATTAAACCCTTACAACTTATCCAGAACGCTGCAGCCCGTCTGGTGTTCAACCTTCCCAAGTTCTCTCATGTCACCCCGCTCCTCCGCACACTCCACTGGCTTCCAGTTGAAGCTCGCATCTACTACAAAACCATGGTGCTTGCCTACGGAGCTGTGAGGGGAACGGCACCTCCTTACCTTCAGGCTCTGATCAGACCATACACCCAAACGAGGGCACTACGTTCATCCACCTCTGGCCTGCTAGCCCCCCTACCTCTACAGAAGCACAGTTCCCGCTCAGCCCAGTCAAAGCTATTCACTGCTCTGGCACCCCAATGGTGGAACAAGCTCTCCCACGACGCCAGGACAGCGGAGTCACTGACCACTTCCGGAGACACTTGAAACCCTACCTCTTTAAGGAATACCTGGAATAGTATAACAGTAATCCTTCTACCCCTCCCCACCCCCCCATAAAAAAAAGGGGGGGAAAAGAGTGGTTGTCCCACTGGCTATCCTAAGTTGAATGCACCAATTTGTAAGTCGCTCTGGATAAGAGCGTCTGCTAAATGACTTAAATGTAAATATACATATCCTTTCAAAAAATATATTTCCCTTTATTACTTTCCAAGCCCACCACCCCTTCCCTAATTGGAGTAAACTACTGAACAACAATGCTTAGGCCTCTACTTCCAGCTTATACATACTATATACATTTTATGGACACAGTCAATTTTACAATAATTCTATTTTGTTTGTTTTTACTCCTGAACTTCCTCTACCCTCAACCTCTCCGATCATTTTCATGATGTCCATCCGGTTTGCTTCTATATGCCATATCTTTCTAACTGTGCTCTTTCACAAAAGCTCTCAACCTATAACCTATATACTTGATTATGGCCACAGTATGACTTTACATTAATTAGTTGAAACTCTTGTTGTTGATTCAGTTGTTGTGGCTAGGTGTACAGTGTTATGAGTCCCCTAAAGAGTGCTCCATTCAACTGTCAAAGCATTCAACAACCAACCCCATCGATCTCTTAATAACCACCATCCCTCTATGGTGGATTGGTCTATTTGGCACAAGATATTGGTCTTCAACTGTTACTGTGATGTTGTTTACAAAATTTTGAAGGACTGAACCTTTCTAGGCGTCTCAGCATTGTTTTCAGATATCAGATCGCGGTGTGGAGGGGAGAATGCGCTATGAAAATAGATAAACAGTGGGGTGTTGCTAAAAGGTATGATGAGGGGCCATTATATTAGTTCGATCGATTGGGTGTGACTATGACTTTGTCAGATCATCACCAGTAATGGAGGAGCGGATGCCAACTCAGCCCGAGGGTTCAAGAGATGCTCTCCAGGTAAATATGGGTGCAATCCTTAGTAGCCATTTCCTGGACCTGTGTCCAAAAACAAGGGGCCTACAAATAGACAGTACCAAAACAAATTATCTAATGATTCCTGTCTCTTCGCCAAGCAAAAATCTACAGAGAAGCTGGGAAGATTTGTAGTCCCCCATAACTAAATAACATTCTATTGGTAGCAACGGAATTCTTATGGTAGCAAGAATTTAAATTGAAAAATTCTAAGTTTTGAATCCTGCGTCATTTTACGTATCAGTTCATAAACACTATGCCATGGAATCGGTAAGTCAAAAATCTCTTCCCAACTATTTTGCAATCTATATGGGATGGCTGTCAATCCTTTGGTCCTTAAATGAAACTGGTATACTTTTTTATTTATCACAGTTTAATAACATAATTAAAGCCGACAGACAAGTTCCTTACTTTTTCCCCCTTCCACTTTCCTCTTCCATTTTTGCGGTAATGCTGCAATTATTTGGTTGTAATTTTGGGTAGAGCAGACATTTCTATATGTTTTTGTTAGCTGCATGTCCTACTGATGATATAATTTACGAAGATTATACCTTTTTTAAACATTTTGTCAAAACATAATGGTTTTTTTATCAATTAGTATATTAGAGTTTAACCACAATATTTGTTGCATTATTTGTTCTGTCGTTTCTGGAGGATTAAATTGAAATTGCAACCAACTTTCTATGGCTTGTTTTAGAAAGTGATATTTTGGAGATTATTTCCTTTTCAAATAACTGAAAGTGAGAGGTTGTAATCTGAATAAAGGGAAAAAGGCCATTCTTGAACATTGGGTGAGACAATCTTACTAATTTGCTAGAGAACCAGTTCGGATGTAAGTATAACTTTTGTATGACTGAAGCTTTTAGTGATAGGTCTAATGCTTTAATATTTAATAATTTCAGTCCTCCGAATTCATATTCATTATATAAATAGGCCCGTTTAATTTTGTCTGGCTTGCCGTTCCAAATAAAATGGAATATTTTTTTCTCATATAATTAAAAAAACTGTTCGCTAGGTGTAGGCAAGACCATAAGCAAATAGGTAAACTGGGATAATACTAGACTTAATCAGGGTGATTTTTCCACAAATTTACAGGTATTTACCTTTCCATGGTAGCAAGATCTTATCTATTTTTGCTAACTTTCTATTAAAATGTATTGGAGTGAGATAATTTATTTCATTTGGGATATGTATTCCGAGTATATCTGATGGTATATCACCATCAGACCATTTTATTGGAAAACTACATGGTAATGTAAAAATTGTATTTTTTAGTGATCCAATACGTAATATAGTACATTTATCATAATTTGGTTGTAATCCAGAGAGGTTAGAAAATGTATCTAGATCCTCTATGAGGCTGTGGAGGGATTAAAGTTGTGGATTTAAAAGAAAACATTAATGATCAGCTTACAATGACACCTTTGTTTTTAAGCTCTGGATTTCTAATCCCTTGATATTATTGTTGGATCTGATTTTAATAGCTAACATCTCGATGGCCATAATAAATAGATATGCCGATAGTGGACAACCTTGTTTCAATCCTCTTGACAGTTTAAAACTTTCTGAGAAATAGCCATTATTTACTATTTTACACCTAGGGTTACTATACATGATTTTAACCCAATTTATAAGAGATTCTCCAAAATTGAAATGCTCCAGGCATTTATATATAAACCTCAGTCGTACTTTATCAAATGCCTTTTCAAAGTCTGCTATGAATAGCAGGCCTGGTTTCCCAGATTTTTTATTGTGTTCTATTGTTTCCAGTACTTGCCTTATATTATCTCCAATGTATCGTCCATGTAGAAAACCTGTCTGATTAGAATGAATAATGTCCGACAATACCTTTTTAATTTTATGCGCTATACATTTTGCTAGAATTTTTTCATCACAACACTGAAGTGTGAGGGGCCTCCAATTTTTAAAGTTCAGATTCTTGTTTACATCAGCATCTTTGTGCATACTGTATATTGTGCATGCTTTGGTTATAGATGAAACGAGATGCTGTAAAATAGTGTACAGCCAATATGTAATGTTCATCAAAAGTTGAAGTTCATGGATTAGTATACAACGATAAATTCAAAGATAAATCATTCAAGTGTCCTATGAATAATCTATATGGAAAATAATTTGATCAATGGAAAGGGGTCTTCATACCAGTGAAGCTGTTTCTTGAATTGTTTCCTGATGACCCAACCCTGGCTGGCTCAACCATGTTCTCCATATCCCACAATGCACCATTCTCCACCAGGCCTGTGTCGGCCTTCAGAGCGTGGCCTGCGGGTCGGCCACCTAGCTGGTGTGGGTAAAAGGCATGATGGGTAATCTGCCCGAAAGGGGAGTGGTCTGGCTGGTGGTGGGCGGCCGGTGGGAGGTTAGACAAAGCCTTGGCATGCGGAACCACAAAGCCTGTAACCATGGATATGGGAGAGATGTCAGAAACACAGTCATACAGAACAGAGAAGTAGTCTGTATTTATGAGCCACACTTAGGTGCTGTTAAAGGAGTAGTTTACTATATTACAACTTGATGTTAGATGGTTCCAACTGTAATCCATGGTTCAGTTTTCTTTAAACAGCCACTCCAAACTTCAGCAAACCTTAGCACCACACACTAACAATCAATGGAAGTGATGGGGGCATGTGAGCATGTTTAAAAAAATGATGTCCAATTCACCTGAAATCAATTCAAATCAACTCAATTTTTGGTTTGATGTTACTTAAAGGTGATTTGGCCATTTGGCCCCAACTTGTGTTTGATGATACAGCGCCTGCTTCTGGTCCAGATATGCTGTAATACCCTCTAAAGGGAAAGCGTTCTTGTTAGAGGGTATTACAGTATATCTGGACCAGAAGCAGGTGCTGTATCATCAATCACAAGTTCGGGAACACCATACTGAGTAATCTTCCTCGTTGGAGTCTCTAGTCTAGGATCTCTCAACCCCAACATTGACACATCCACACCAAGTTTTTACTCTGTATATTCGCTGTCTCATCCTGATCCACTCTAGGCATGCTATGCTAGCCCTAACATCATCCAATCAATCAAATGTATTTTATAAAGCCACTACTCCAGCCAATGCTGTCCCTGTCGGTATTACATGAATACATGCTACAGATTCTACTCCATTCTGTTACTCCCCCAATCCACAGCACCAAGCCTGTCCCTCAGTTAGTATACTAAAAAAACACATGCTAACGCTAACTTTGCTCACTCTCATTCATAGTCATCTCTCTCTTTATGTAGTGTTGTGTTGTCTCTATTGTTGTGATGTGTGTTTGGTCCTATATATATATATATTTTTTTTTGTTGAAATCACAGCCCCCGTCCCCGCAGGAGGCCTTTTGCCTTTTGGTAGGCCATCATTGTAAATACAAATTTGTTCTTAACTGAATTGCCTAGTTATATAAAGGTTAAATAAAAAATAAAATAAAAATCTGTCTAAGCAGGGTATCCAGCTCCTGTTGCGTCGCTTCCATAGAGAAGGTCCTGATCTGAGGGTTAAAGGTCATATGCTGACCCCAGGGGTCATGGTTAGGGTACAGGCGGGGAGGGACTGGGAGGAGGGTAGGGAGCAGAACACAGGACCTGTCTGACTGGCCATCTCAGGGGTGGAGTACAGCATGTTAGGACAACTGCTGGAGAACTTAAGACAGGGTGGAGGGAGGGAGTGGTGGAGGTCTGGAAAAAGAGTGGTGAAAGGGATGAGAGGAGGTTGGAAAGAGGATGGAGAGAGATGTAGCGTATGTGTCTATGAATAGCACATGTTACTTCAGTTTAAGTGACTACTATACCTGTGTTTCCTGGGCCATGTCTCGCCCCCTGTCCCTGCTCTTCCTGAGCGTATTCGCTGGCTGCGTCCACATCAGAGCACAGCTCCAGGTCCTCATTGGTCCGGCACTCGTCTGACACAAAGGAGGTCCTGTCTGATTGGTCAGTGGTCTCTGAGTGGGCGTGGCTGCTGCAGGGGGTGTCGGAACGCTGCTGTAGCTTGGTGTGAAGGGACTCGATGATCTTATCCTTCTGCTGGAGTTCCTTACTTAGCCTAGGGAGAGAAAGAGAAAGAGAGGTTGATTATCTCATCCTTTGCTACAGCTCTTTACTCAGTTCCTACAAGACATACACGTACAGACAGACATAACCACACACACAGACATAGGCCACCAAAAAACAGGCCAAAAACCAGCAGCATATACCTGGAAAGATCCACCACAGAGCTCAAATACCGCAATCAAGTTCTAATAGAAGTTGTATAACCCTTTTCTTGCCCATTGAACCCACCTTACATTTCCAGTTTCATCTGTAGGAACTCCCGCTCTATCTCCATCTGTTTTCGTAGGACGTCAGGCTCTCTCCCACCGCGATCCCCCACACACAAAGACTATAGAGAGTCCCTGTTTATGGGGCTGCTCTTATCGAGCATGGACTTCCATAGTGGAGCCATAGATCTGGCAGTCAAATATTCTTATTTGTTATAGAAATAGTCCTAAAAAAAACGTCCTTCCCAAGTCAGGTCAAATATAATATAACATCCAAAGTGAGTCTTCTTGTCACGGTTTCGGCCGAGGCTGCCTCTCTCCCTTGTTCGGGCAGGCTTCGGCGTTCGTTGTCTCCGGAATACTAGCTGCCACCGTTGTATGTTTCATGTTCGTTTGCTTTTGTCTGATTGTTGTCACACCTGTTTTCATTTAGTGTCATTAGTGTCCTATTTAGTTCTCGTTGTGTTTGTCAGGTGTTGTGTGTTATTGATTTTTGTCAGTCGTGTCTTTCGCTCGGTTGAGCTTCTCTCCACTGCGCTGGAGTTATTTCGCACCTGTTTTGTGCGCTGTTGTATCATTTTCGCCTTTGTGCGTATTTCGCCTTCGGGCAAGTGTTTGTCCGTTTGCCGTGTTTGGCATTAATACAAGTCTGTTGGATTATCCGTCTGCGTCCTGCGTTTGATTCCACCACTGCACCTACAGCACGCGTTGACAGAATAACACACCACAATGGAATCAGCAGGAGCCGCAGCAGCCCAGGCGACTCTGGAGGACAGGGTCCGGGAACAAGGTGACCAGATCCTGCAGATGGGGACCGCACTGCAGGAGGTGATCACCACCATCCGAGGCTGGGGGACGCCTCCACCGCCACCCTCCGTGCCAGCACCATCGGCCAGTCAGCCTATTCCCGCACCAGAACCCCGAGGAGTCCGACTCTCGCTCCCGAGGGCTTACGATGGGACCGCGGCCGGGTGCCAGGGTTTCCTTCTCCAGGTGGAGCTGTACCTGGCCACCGTGCACCCGGCGCCCTCGGGACATGAGAGCGTGTCCGCCCTGATCTCCTGCCTGTCCGGGAAGGCGTTGGAATGGGCCAACGCGGAGTGGAGGAGGATCGACGCGGACACCATAACTTACAACGAGTTCTCCCGCCGCTTCAAGGCGGTGTTTGACCATCCCCCGGAGGGGAAGGCGGCGGGGGAGCGTCTGGTCTTCCTCCGGCAGGGGAAGAGGAGTGCTCAGGAGTTCGCCCTCGAATTCCGTACTCTAGCGGCAGATGCAGGGTGGAATGATCGGGCCCTCGTCGATCACTACAGGTGTAGTCTACGAGAGGACGTCCGTCGGGAGCTGGCCTGTAGGGACACCAGCCTCACGTTCGACCAGTTGGTCGACATGTCCATCAGGCTGGATAACCTGCTAGCTACCCGCGGACGTTCCGAGGGGGGTCCGTCCATTTCACCCTCCAGCGCTTCCGAGCCGTGCCCCATGGAGCTCGGGGGCGCTGGCGCTAGAGAGAGGAGGGGTCGGCTTACTAGGGGGTCCATCCCCTGCACCAACTGTGGTCGGGGAGGACACACCGCGGCTAGGTGCTGGGGATGGCCTCCTAGGGGAGAGGACGACAGGTCCCGCACTGGGGATTCCCTCCAGGTGAGTAGGCGCCCCACTCACCCAGAGCTCTCTGTTGCACATTTTTGTATGCCTGTGCGTTTTCCACAGGTAGCACCTCATTCCCAGCATAAGGCGCTGGTAGATTCAGGCGCGGCTGGGAATTTTATTGATAAGAAGTTTTGTTTAGCTTTAGGGATTCCCCTTCTTCCTGTTGATGTTCCTTTCCCCGTTCATGCCCTAGATAGCCGTCCGTTGGGTGCGGGCTTGATCAGGGAGGTCACTGCGCCACTTAGGATGTGTGCGCAGGGGGGTCATCAGGAGATGATTCAGCTATTTCTGATTGACTCTCCTGCGTATCCGGTGGTGCTGGGCATGCCCTGGTTGAGTACCCATAACCCATCCATTTCGTGGCGGGAGAGGGCTCTGATGGAGTGGTCTGCCCAGTGTGTGGGTAGATGTTTAGGCGTTTCCGTAGGGGCTACCTCGGTGGAGAGTCCAAACCAGGTGCCCGCATTGCACATTCCCCCTGAGTATGGGGATTTGGCTATTGCGTTTAGTAAGTCGAGGGCGACGCAGTTGCCGCCCCATAGGCAGGGAGATTGTGCGATAGACCTCCAGGCAGGAGCTGCGCTCCCACGGAGCCATGTGTATCCTCTGTCTCAAGAGGAGAAGAAAGCTATGGAGACTTACATAGACGAATCTCTGAGACAAGGATACATACGGCCTTCCACTTCCCCTGCGTCCTCGAGTTTCTTTTTTGTGAAGAAAAAGGATGGTGGTTTGCGCCCGTGCATCGATTACCGTGGTCTCAATCAGATTACGGTGAAGTACAGTTATCCACTCCCGCTGATTGCGACCATGACTGAGTCGTTGCATGGGGCGCGTTTCTTCACTAAATTAGATCTCAGGAGCGCGTACAACTTGGTGCGCATCAGGGAGGGCGATGAATGGAAGACAGCCTTTAGTACCACCTCGGGCCATTACGAGTATCTGGTCATGCCATACGGGTTGATGAACGCTCCGTCAGTTTTCCAATCATTCGTGGATGAGATCTTCAGGGACATGCAGGGGCAGGGGGTGGTTGTGTACATAGATGACATTCTCGTGTACTCGCCTACCCGTGTCGAGCATGTGGCCCTGGTGCGTAGAGTGTTGCGGAGGCTGGTGGAGCACGACCTGTATGTGAAGGCAGAGAAGTGTCTGTTTTTCCAGGAGTCGGTCTCCTTTTTGGGGTATCAGTTGTCTGCGTCAGGGGTGAAGATGGAGGTAGACCGGGTGTCGGCCGTGCGTAATTGGCAAACACCAACCACTGTGAAGGATGTGCAGCAGTTTTTGGGGTTTGCGAATTACTACCGGAGGTTTATCCGGGGTTTTGGACAGGTGGCAGCTCCCATCACTTCTCTTTTGAAGGGGGGTCCGGTGCGTCTGCAGTGGTCAGCCGAGGCGGACAGGGCGTTTGGGAGGCTGAAGGACCTGTTTACCTCGGCCCCGGTGCTGGCGCATCCGGATCCCTCTTTGCCGTTCCAGGTAGAGGTGGACGCGTCAGAGGCCGGTCTAGGAGCCGTGCTTTCACAACGGTCTGGCGCGCCACCTAAACTCCGCCCCTGTGCTTTTTATTCTAAGAAGCTCAGTCCGGCGGAGCGGAACTATGACGTAGGGGACAGGGAGCTGTTAGCCGTGGTACAGGCCCTAAAGGTGTGGAGGCACTGGCTTGAGGGGGCTCAACACCCTTTCCTCATTTTGACGGACCACCGTAACCTGGAGTACATCCGGGGCAGCGAGGAGGCTGAACCCTCGCCAGGCAAGATGGAATATGTTCTTGACCAGGTTTACTTTTAAGATCACGTACATCCCTGGGTCACAGAACGGTAAGGCAGATGCGCTGTCTCGGCGGTATGACATGGAGGAGAGGTCCGTGGAGCCCACTCCCATACTGCCGGAGTCGTGTCTGGTGGCACCGGTAGTGTGGGAGGTCGATGCTGAACTCGAGCGGGCGTTACGCACCGACCCTAGTCCACCACAGTGCCCGGAGGGTCGGAAGTACGTTCCGCTCGAGGTTCGGGATCGATTGATCTATTGGGCTCACACGTCACCCTCCTCTGGACATCCGGGTATCGGCCGGACAGTGCACTGTCTTAGTGCCAAGTACTGGTGGCCCACGTTGGCAAGGGATGTGAGGGTTTATGTTTCCTCCTGCTCGGTGTGCGCCCAGTGTAAGGCGCCTAGACATCTGCCTAGGGGTAAGTTACTACCCCTGCCCGTGCCACAACGACCATGGTCCCACCTCTCGGTGGATTTCCTTACTGACCTTCCTCCTTCACAGGGGAATACCACTATACTGGTCGTTGTGGACCGGTTTTCTAAGGCCTGTCGTTTGCTCCCCATGCCGGGCCTTCCTACCGCCCTGCAAACTGCCGAAGCCCTATTCACCCATGTGTTCCGGCACTACGGGGTACCCGAGGATATTGTGTCTGATCGGGGTCCCCAATTTACCTCCAGAGTCTGGAGGGCCTTTATGGAGCGGTTGGGGGTCTCGGTGAGCCTCACCTCGGGTTACCACCCAGAGAGTAATGGGCAGGTGGAACGTGTAAACCAGGATGTGGGCAGGTTTCTTAGAACATACTGCCAGGACCGGCCGGAGGAGTGGGCAAGGTACGTTCCCTGGGCCGAAATGGCCCAGAATTCCCTACGCCATTCCTCCACTAACCTAACCCCTTTCCAATGTGTGTTGGGTTACCAGCCGGTTCTGGCACCCTGGCAGCAGAGCCAGATCGAGGCTCCTGCGGTGGATGAGTGGGCGAGGCGCTCGGAGGAGACATGGAACGCTGCACACGTCCACCTGCAGCGGGCCCTCCGACGTCATAAGGCGAGCGCCGATCTCCACCGCAGTGAGGGACCGGTGTACGCACCTGGTGATCGAGTCTGGCTCTCTACCAGAAACCTGCCCCTCCACCTGCCCTGTCGGAAACTGGGTCGGCGGTTTGTAGGGCCATTTAAAGTCCTGGGAAGGTTGAACGAGGTGTGTTATAAATTACAGCTACCTGTTGAATATAAAAGTATTAACCCCTCGTTCCATGTGTCCCTTCTCAGGCCGGTGGTAGCTGGCCCACTCCAAGAAAGTGAGATCAGGGAGACTCCTCCGCCCCCATTGGACATCGAGGGGGCACCGGCGTACTCCGT